AATTGCTTATGATTGGTGTGAGTAAGCCAGATTGTCCTCACGAGATATGCACCTCACTGATGTGGTTAGATTCTCCTAATAACTGTTACACCATAAGTTGTTAATCCCCCACTACCAACGATCGGAATTGAGTGTTGATATTTGAGTTTTTGATGGATTGGAGTCAGTTGATGTTAAATGGTTGCAAAGTCCTTGAGTGTGGGGTGAAAGGTATGATCATTAAAGCACAACTCATCAATTGAGAAAGAAACTACTGATTATCACAAGAGTACAAGGGTAAATTTCATGTGTTGATGTTGTGTTCTGTGAGTCGTGATATTATGTTTTGAGAAAGGTTGTGTCTCCCTGGTCTGTGTTGTGTTTCCTCCAATTATCGGTTTCTTGTTCAAGTTGTTGCTTAGGGACAAGCAAGTATTGAGTGTGGGGTTGTGATAATTGTCGAGAACATATTGATTTTGTGTGCTTAATGTGATTATAACATCATATGTTTGAGACATATAATGCTTGTTTTAATGCCAACTGACTATGGAATGGTTATAAGACCATTACCAGCACGTGCTAGTATTTTGATATATTTTAAGTGGAAAACATGGAGCTATTAATGTATAAATAGAACATGGAAGTTGTGCAACAAATTTTCAACGTGAAATTCTTGGACCGGGGTTATTCTCCAAATGATTTGGATCGGACCATTGGAGGGAGGTAGTTTGGACCGACAAGGAATTGGGCTTGCTTGGAATTGCTTGGGACGGAATTAAAGGGGAACACAAAAAATTCTCAAGGGCTGGCAACTAATAAAAGGAAAGGAGGGCGGCTGGCAATGAATTGAGAGGGGGGAATTGGACACGGACAGGCAATTATTTTTGGCGAGGAGGCAGGTGGGTACGGAATTCTTGGGACAAGAAAATTGCTGGAGAGGAATTTCTCTGGGGGACGAGCTTCTTTTGGAGGGACTTCGGACGGCAGCAAGGAGTAGCGGGGAAGAAAAATCCCTCCGATCGCAGGCTGTCAGGAGAGAAGGCGACGACGGACACTGTTTGAAAATTTAGTATTTTCGTTCCTTCCTCTCGTGATTAGTTTTATGCCGAATAAAAATATGATTGTGTGTTTTATTTTCGTCATGAACTAAACCCTGATTTCTGGAGGAAACACCATAGGATGTAACTATTTCTTGATTTGATGGATTGATTCATATTTCTTTCTTCCAATCTCTATTGCATGAGATTACTTAATGCTTTGTGTTGACTGGCCACCAATACATTGATTTGTTGTTAATTAGGTTATTAGCGACAGTGAGACCCTAATAACTGAACATATTTCATGTGACATAGTAACTTATCGAAGCGACAATGGATTAAATAAGGTGCTATGCGGTCTTAAATAGGATATTGTTCTTCAGGCTAAATAGTTAATTCATTGAGCTACGACAGTAGGATTTGAATTAATTGTTTAGTACGTAGTAATTCCCGGCAGGGATAGTAGCACATTCGTGATATCCTGGCTGTAGAGAGTTGGATTAAATTGATTAGAATATGTGAATTAATCTGGATAGGATAGGTAGTGAATCCCGATGTTTCTCCCATAGCCTTCTCCCATTAATTTTCTCCCGACAACTTTAATTTGCTTGTTTTGTTTAATTATTAGCTAGTAGTTTCATCACTAAAACATTTTTCACCTATAGTTTCCTCTATAAAATTGATAGAATATAAGGTTGTACCAGTCCCTGATAGACGATACCCGGACTTTCCGGTTTTACTACGAGATAGGAATTGAAACTATACGTTTTGCCCTACCAGGAGTCAATGAGAGCTTGAACAGAGGTCTCTTCCAAATAAACCTTAACTGAGTAAATAATCGAGCCATAGCACACAGGAATTTCTTCCGGTATCACCTCACGAGGACTCACACGGATCCGAACTTCGTTTAGTGAAACTGCACGATCTTGTATTTCCTTCACTTCTCCACAGAAAGACCCCAATTTAGCCAAAAGTACAGCGGATTGGAGATGAAGGGGGATTCCGTCGATTCGAACCCAAACTTCTCCACGAGAAAGAAGGACATTTGATCTCCCTGCATTTTCGATCCACTTATCTGCAAAAATCTGAAAATTCTGAAAAGTCCAGCGATTAAGCGTCAAAATCCGATCCACCTCCGCCGACGATGAGCATGGAAGCAGCCAGAGTCCATCGCTCAAAAGTTGAAGATCAGAGTAAGATAAGCCCCAATTCCTCTCTACCCACCGCCGGAACTCAACCCTGTCCGGATCCCCTTCTCCCACGAACCTAAGAATCAAAGATTTTCGAAGGAAAGTCTCTCGGGCTCTCACCCCTTCTCCTGACACCACCAGCGCCTTAGATCCTTCAATAGATTTAATTGAACAACTTCCCTCCCTGGGTAAATCGAGATTCTTAAATAAGTCAGCGAAGGAGATGGTTACAGAAGAGACATTTCTATCTCGTGAGCTCGTCATTCCTCTCCTTGAAACAGTCCAATCATAGCCTCTTGCCGCCATCTCCTCAAACAATTGAGTCATTTGAGGTAGGAATTAGGATCTTGTTGAGCATTCCTCCTTAACAAAAGGAGTTGATGAGTTGTCGGTCTTTTTGGAAGAGTCCGTTGTAGAAAGTTTCAACCTTCAAGTGAACATCAAAGTCATGGTGTTTACACTTCAAGAATAGACTGTATATCCCTCCCAAGCATCCTTTGATGTCGGGTTAATTGCATGGTTGGTCACTGAGATTACAAAAAACGTTCATGTTTGGTCAATGGAAATATTTAAATCTAATTTTGGTCACTCAAATTAGTTAAATGGTTCAAGTTTGGTCACTCTCCGTCCATTTTCGTTAACTCTAGCTTACGTGACAGTCAACTTTCATAATTGACCGTTAAATACGTGACGTGGTGATTAAAAAATTATAAAAAATAAACAAATAAACTTTAATATTTTCCACCTCATTATTTCATTCATCAAAAAATAAAAAAATAAAAAAAAAACCTAATTTATTTTCTACACACCCCAATACCCTACCCCACCCAACCTCACCACCACCACAACACAACCTCTGGCGGCGGCATTCCTTCTGTTTCCCCCGCAGCTAGCAGCCGATGGGGCGACGGAAGAAGTTGTTGGTGTAGAAAGGGAGTCGCCGAAGCTTATAATGGATTAGAAGCATTCAGATGTGGCGGCAGTTGAAATGATAGCCGGACGCCAGAGTGGAGGATTGCTAGCTGCGGCGATTGAAATGGTAGCCTGACACCGCAGTAAACATCGAGACAGAAGAACTCAAACCAAAAACAATCAAAATCAAGCCATGGCCGTAACTCTACCATCGGCAGCGACAGTACGGCCGATCTCCGGCTCCGTTACCTCTTGCCGGCTGCCATCTCGTTTCCTCCCTCCCAAACAACTCCCTACTTCCGCGGCCAAAAACACAGTCCACCGCTCCCGCGTTGAAATCCAGAGCCACACTAGGCGAGAAATACCTCATCGGCGTCGCGGAAGAAGAAGAGGAAGAGCCTGGCTTCTCGCAAGAAATTGATAAAGTAGGTGATGAGTCCAAGTTTTCAATTTCTATTCCTCTATTTCTGGCTGGTGGGAGAGAACTGACATTTGGGAGAATTGAAATTTGTTTTTGAATAATCATAAACACTAGGGGGTGGTTTGGATTAGTGAATGTGATGAGGGATTTATGAGTGATTTTAAAACAATCTCTCGTTGTGCAGGATTTTAAAACAATTCTGCGTTTGAAAAGGTGAGAGATTGTGGGCATGAGGAAATTCTAAATCCCTCATATGAGAGTTTTTAAAATACCTGATGGGGATAAGCTATTTCACAATCACTCATTTTTTCTCATTCTTTTCCAAACTCTGCCCCTCCTTTTGTTCTTCCTTTCTTATTCTTCCTTAGGGATTAGGGATGGGTATAACTGTAACTTTAGTTTTTAATTAAAATCCTTCATCTATTCCCAAACATGTTATTTGGATCAAATCCCACGTTTGAAATACCTGGGTTTTTAATTGAGAGATTTTAATCCAAATCCCTCATTTACACATTTCCTAATCCAAACGACCCCCTAGGAGGTTGAAGAGAAAGTGAGATTATTAAAGGATGTTGTAAGAGGAAAGTACCAGTCGTCGCAGATGTAGCCGGTGGGGAGACGGAAGAAGTTGTTGCCGTAGAGAGGGAGTCGTCGAAGCTTATAATGGATTAGAAGCATCCAGATGTGACAGCGGTTGAAATGGTAGCCGAACGCCGGAGAGGAGGATCGCTAGCTATCGGCAAATGGAAGGAATGCCGCTGGCGAAGGTTGTATTCTGGTGGTGGTGAGGTTGGGTTGAGTAGGGTATGGGGTGTGTAGAAAAGAAATTAGGTTTTTTTTTGTTTTGTTTTTTAATGAATGTAATGAGGTGGAAAATATAAAAGTTTATTTTTTTATTTTTAATAAATTTTTAATTGCCACGTCACATATTTAACGGTCAACTATGAAAGTTAACTGCCACGTAAGATAGAGTTAACGAAAATGGACGGAGAGTGACCAAACTTGAACAATTTAATTAATTTGAATGACCGAGATTGGATTTAAATATTTCCAGTGACCAACCATGAACGATTTTTGTAATCTCAGTGACCAACCATGCAATTAACCCCTTTGATGTCTCATCAGCTTCCTCAACTCAGCGGTGTTGGTCCTGTTGGATGGTGGGTATTAAAAGCTTTTTTGAAACCAATTCTCTTGACCCATACACGTGCTCGGATAGTAAGTTGAATCAAATCTGCAGCCATAAGTGTAAAACACAAGCAACTAGCTTGTTCCCTCGCAATAATAATTATATTGTCGAAAACCCGATCCTCAAAGAAGAAACAAAACAATTCAAATGTAACAAACCAAGATCATAATCCCCATGGCAGAATAAATCAAAGATCCACAAATCCTCACAGAACAAACAGAAAAATAAATAAAGAACAAACTAAGATCCAAATGAGAAGATGAACCATATCCCTAACGGATGACCAACTGAATGCTAGGAGGTATGATCCCTTGAAGCCACTCCTTAGCATGTTGCCTCACGTAGCCTTCGACCTTATGAATCTCATCCAACTGCGATTTTTTTTTGTAAGAATTAATAGGGCACTTAGGCTTAGATTGATAATTCGGGTCTATTATAATGGTCTCAAGTGCTGTGGCATTTGTAATGATGTAAGAGATGAAGTCGTCCTCATTTGGATATCGGCGATACCCAGCCAATTCCAGCACCTTGAGGTGTTCAAGGCCATTAGTACGTCTCTCGGCCTCCTTAAGCTCCCTACTTTCCCATTCTTCTACTGATAATCTGCCAATCATCTGCATAACGATATGATCAGTATGTATACATATAAAGAAACCTAACGTGAGAGGATAAGTGGAATGCCCATACAAAAACAAACAGACAAAGTTGAAGGCAAAAAGACGGTCAAACAAAAATCAGAATCTAGAATCTAACCCGTATTGTAATATTTTCCAAATAAGGTGCTGCTCCCATGAGGGGCACCAACTTAAGGAGATCCTGATCCGGCGGTGATACCCAGAGCACTTGCAATTCTAGCAGACCAATAAGTTTGTGGACAATTGGATAGTCTAGATCTACCTGCAGACAATATCATCTTAGCCAGGGTCCTAATGTGAATGACCAAACAAAGCAAGAGCAATTAAAGAAAGAATCAGTTGGAACACTAACCAGAGGTCCCGGGTAAACAGCCACCTTCAGATGCTTCAGCTGGGAAACAAGGGAGGAGAGCATACGAAACTGATCCACCAGTTTTGAAATTATTGAAAAAGATACATCCACTAAGCCTGGAAGGTTCCTCAGGAAAAATTTCTTATCAGACCAGCCTGGCAGCACATGAACACGAACTCTTTCATCATACAACACAAAAGAAACGATTGTTACAACATCATATAACTCGATTTTCTCCAATTCACCACATCCCATTATCTCCAAGTGCTTCAACCTCAAAGAATGACCAGCAATTTTCAAACAGCCCAAGTCATAGACATGATGCAGAGTCAACGTTTCAAGAATAGGACAAGTTGACAGAAGACCCTCCAGAACATCCCCAGTCATTCTGACGGACCTCAAACATAGAGATGTGAGCGACTCAAACCTGCAAACGGGTGATGATATATCATGAGTAGCAGCTTGGCTCGCAGCTCCTACTCGAAAAACATACTTCTTTTGCTGATCGACATCCTTGAGAATTACATTATTTATTGACATGTAGATGAGATGCTTCTCATAGATCTCGTTACAAGCTCCAAATGGTAGATTCAAGTCCAAATCCAGCTTCCTGACTTTCTTAGATAAAGCAAACTCGATACACCAATCAATAAAACTTTTATGCTTCTCAGTCAGGCAAAACTCAAGTCTCAACTCCTCCAAAATCTGCCCTTTGTATGATTGAATCACCTTACTAACACGTCTAACGTAATCTTCCCTCGCGTACGGAGGCAGGTGGGTAATGCCTTCGTTAATCGGGAAGAATGAGGCGTTGAAGTCTAGACGAGGAATGGAAGCCCCCAAGTCCCTCCATTGAGTGGAAAGGAAACAAGTCATGGCCACCTCCTTAATTGTCAGGAACGATAATATAAACAACTGGATGTCCTTCGGAAGCTGACTAATTCGGTCTTCGTGATTATAGCTATGCAATTTATCAGAAGACCCCTGCAAAACCCGAAACAACCAACCTAAGTAATTTGTTTACCAGTATCGTATTCACAAAGGCAAATCAGAGCCAACAAGAGCAAAGCACCAAAAGAGAGACTACTGTCTATGTTTTATAGTGAAGTTTCTGCAGTTGAATGTTACCTACTCCATTAAACTACTAAAGCACGGAAGAACCGCAACCCAGAGATTTAAAACAAAGCACAGATAGAAGAAGCAAGAAAGCTAAGAAACCTTTCTCTGTCTCTTCAAAAGCTTTATAATTTGTTGGGAACCAGAAGCAGATCCTCTAAGAACCTTTCTCCTTCTCTTTCTCTTCATAAACTTGGCTCTCTGTCGGGAAGGAGAACCAGGATTAGGGGTGAACAAACACACCCGCAAACCGACCCACCCGTCCAACCCGACCCAACCCACCCGTATTTATCGCTAAAACGAAGGTTTTGGGTTGGGTGAGGATTTTCTTTTGCACAACCCGCCCCTTTTGGGTTGGGTTTGGATTTTTTATTACACAACCCGTAGAACCCGACCCAACCCGTGTTCCAATTATTGGTATGAGTTCGTAACCAAAAAAATATTTATGTAGTATAGTCATACTTATGAGAAAATTAAGATATTTTGCCATGTGTTTCTCTTAAGGTCTCCCTAATCTAATGCATTCTTCGGCTTAAAGTTTAGACATAAATTTAATATAGCTATGATTCACGTAATTTTTTTTCTTGTGTACAATTTTAATAGAATAACATATTTTGAATGCGTTCATTTGTAACCTTTTTAGCCTATTTCAACAAATGTCATGAAAAAAACTAGACATAAGTTAAAGTAAATCAAATTTTATGAAAATTCAAACAACATTTGTGAATTTTGATACCTTTCACCTTGGTTTATTCGTTTGAATTTTTAATTAGTTATAAAATATTTTTATGAAGTAGAATAATTACATATTTTTGTGTTGGGTTGGGTTTTTATTTAAATATATCGCCAACCCGACCCAACCCAATTAGAAACAAACTGTAGGGTTTAGATTTTTTTGATTGGGTTTGGGTTTAATATTTCCCAAACCGTAGTGCATGGGTCGGGTGATTAAAATGTCTAAACCCGGACCACCCGACCCATGTACACCCCTAACCAGGATAGCCGTCCTCTCTCTTCGCTGGTATGTCTGAATTCGGCATCCCGGAAGAAGAGGAAGCAAGCAATAAAGCTAGGACCTTAGGGGTCCGGATAAGTGTTGTTATACTAACAACAACATTCATTAAGGGTATAAGGGTAAAAATACTCATATATTTAATTAAATAAAAATTAAATAAAAATAATCCAATTTCTAGATCACTCTCGATCTTCTCCTCACGCCCGCCGCGTCCGTGATTCCTCCTCCCCTATAGGCTATAGCGGAGGGCTTCTCCGGCTGCGGTGAAACGGAGATCGACACAGTCGGCGAAGATAATAAAAAATGCATGAAAATGTGACCACCCCGCCACCGCCAAACCCGGCAGCGCCGCCGTCGCCCATGTTCCAAGGTGTCCCTCCGGACCAAGTATCCGGCCGGCTCCCCCTCGCTCCTCCTCCTGGCGCCGCCGTCCCTGTCAACCCACACAATCACGCTTCTCCTATGCCGTGGTCCACTGGCCTCTGTGATTGTTTTGACGATTGTTCTTCTTGTAAGTCCCTCGTCATTATTAATTGATCTATATATACCAACGCATACATACATATACATACATTCTTCTCCTTGTCCAAATTACTTCAGATCACAATCGCCGTCGCTAGACACAATCCCGGCCGCTTCCGTCGGCGACGGGGAACAAGAAGCAGACTGGATCTCGGAATTACCGGAAGAGATCATCCATAAGATACTCGATCTCCTAGACTCCCAAAAGGAAGCTGCAAAAACCAGCGTCCTGTCCCTAGATGGTTCAAGCTCTGACTATCCTACCCAACCCTCGAATTCAACGATACCCAATTCGTATCAACGCCATCGGCGGAGAGATTTGCCGCTGCAGCGTCTAAAAAGTTCAGACGTAGCAGCGATGATACCCTGTCCGCCATGAATGCCCTCATAATCAATTTCAATCGTCGGAAGGAGTGGGCCGTCGAATTCTGCTCTGCTTTCCTCGACGAGATGCTGGAAAGATACAAGGTATGTGGACATATCTTTTGACTAATTGTACTTTCGATGTTGATGTTGACGGAACTCTCCATAGAGGCAGATCCGGGTTCAAACGAAGGGTGAATCTGAGCTCGAAATTCAGAGGGTTCGCCTTCAACACCATGCTTCGGATGGTCGTCGGGAAGTGGTACTTCGGGTACGGCGAATCGGATGTGGTGGATAAAGAGGCGGAGGAGTTTCGGGATCTGATCAGCGAATTCTCCTCCATTCATGGGACCTCTACGCCGAACGATTTCTTTCCCTGCTTCGATGGGTCGATTTTCAAGGTCTGGAAAAGAGGATGAATTCTCCCTCCACGGCCCACGCTGACGGATTCTCCAATGTTGTCATCACCAAATTCTTTTCATTTTCCCACCTTGTTTATTGCATTAAAATGATAGAAGAGGATATATGGATAGCTTTATGACAATGTAATGGTTGATACCTCATCACCAATTGTTCCTACGATCAACAACGTTTATCATATTTTCTATTATTATTTTATGATGTATCAGAAGCATCCTAATGTAGAACATAAGTCTGGTGAAACAAAACAGAAACATCACAAAGTGAGCTATAAATAATTTTAAATCACACCAAACACTACAAGAAACTGTACCTTCTGCGATGAATTCTTTTGCGACGACAAGAAATTCGTCGCAAAAAGCACACATTTTGCGACGACATTTTCTATTCAGTCGCTGATAGTGTCAGGTTCCAGCGGAAGATGGGGCGGAGGTTTCCGCGACGGAATTTTACTTTTCACGACGATCTATTTCGTCGCAGAAAATTAACAGATATTTTGCGACGATATCCTTCGTTGCAGAAAGCTTGAAGATTTTTTGCGACGAAGAAATTCGTCGCATTATGGTAGTTATATTTCGCGACGACCATTATCCGTCACTATATCATTTAGAGGTTTTTGCGACAAAAGACTTTCGTCGCATAATGTTTGTGTTTGCATCGACTGGCTCCGTCGCTGAAAAAATTCAGCCGGAAAATCTTATGTTGGAAACGGTAACGTTTTATTTTATAATAAATTAATATATTTTTAGCAAACCTTTTCTCCACACCCTGTGTCCCGTAAGTTTTTAATTTAATAAATAAATAAATGTTTTATTTACCTAATGAAACGGTGGCGTTGGGGTCTTCTTTCCCTTTGGCTATCCAATTCGATCTTTCATTCCTCAAATTCTAGAACCCTAAAATTTCTCCTTGAACTTGAAAGAACGAACTCTCACCCAAATGGCGCCGTCGAGAACCGATTCTCCAACGCTGTTGGCGGGAAATTCCCTTTGATTCTGTATGATAGTGCTCTTCGATTCCGCCCGTCATCCGTCGCATCTCCTTCTCTCTGTCGATTCTCAATTCTTCTTTCCGTCCATGAGCTCAAGAGTTCCCTGTAAGTATTTCTTCAATGTTTCCCTACCGACATGCCATTCAGGTTGTGATGTGTTCATTTTCGACTATTGCAGAAGGTTAATTGGTGTTGGGGGCGAAGGATTCAAGCATTAAGGCACGAATTTTGGAGGGGCATGTACGACATGAAACCATAACTCTCCTAAAACAAACCAAAAACACCACAAAGCACACCAAAAACTTCATAATACAAACCACAAACACGGTAAAACAAAACACAAAAAAGCATACCAGAAACCTCCCAATGCATGCGACAAATCCCCTAAAACAAACCAAAAACCTCACAAAGCAAACCACAAATATTTTGAAAGCACACCAGAAAACTCATAACGCAAACCATAAACACCCTAAAGCAACCCACAAAAACAAACCAGAAACGTTCTAATGCAAACCAAAAATATATTAAAACAAACCGAAAATCTCACAAAGCAAACCACAGAATTTTCAAAAGCACACCAGAAACCTCATAATGCAAACCACAAACACGTTAAAACAAACCACAAAAACAAACCAGAAACCTCCTAATGCACACCACAAATCTCCTAAAACAAACCAGAAACTGCTCAATGCAAAACACAAACTTTTTGAAAGCAAACCAGAAACTTCTCAATACAAACCACAAACACGATAAAGCGAACCACAAAAACAAACCAGAAACCTCCTAATGCATACCACAAATCTCCTAAAACAAACTAGAAACCCCTCAATGCAAACCACAAAATTTTTGAAAACAAACCAGAAACTTCTCAATGCAAACCACAAACACGATAAAGCAAACCAGAAAATTCTTAATGCAAACCACAAACACGATAAAGCAAACCACAAAAGGCATACGAAAATATGAGAAACCAAACCATAAATCTCACAATGTAGACCAAACATCCGGTGGTCGTTGACCGTTGACAGAACTCCGGTGACTGTCAGTCAATAGATTCCGACGCCGATAGGCATATTCCGGCCCCGATGACTAGATTCCGACGCCGGTAAGCATATTCCGACCGCGGTGAGCATATTCCGGCGACCGTGGCATATTCCGATGACAAAATAGCATATTCCGGCGACAAAAAAGCATATTCCGGCGACCGGCGACCAGTTACCGACGACCGATGGCAGAATTCCGGTGACCAAAATTTTGGGCTAAAATAAAAAAAATTATTTTTTTATTCTTTATTTAAATATATTTTTCATAATGACAATTATACCCCTGCTTTGATTTTACACTAGGTCAACTCATCTAATAAAAAGTCATCACAACCCTAGCTTCATATTGGTTGGAGACTAGTGTTGTTACAATAACAACACAACTACACAAGGGGTGTTGTTATAATATCTAGTCCCGACCTTAGGTTCCTGTTTGGAGAACGGAGAGAGGAAGTGGAGTTATAGATCCAGATCTCAAACCTTCTGCCATATATATAAATATAAAATATGAATAAAAATTCTAAACTAGTCAAAATGGATCTTGTTAGATTTCTTTTATATTAAATAATATGATTTTATAATTTATTTAATTTTTAAAATGATATAAATGAAGGAAAATTATATTTTCTGAAATAAAATTAAAATATGGTAAGGATAATCTTGTATTTTCAAAACAGCTTTTTGCAGAAGCTCCAAATCGGAGCTTCTGCTTTTATGTTATACAAAAGCGCTTTTCGGCTTTTCAAAAGCCGAGTTTTTACAGGTGTTTGACCTTGTTTCAACTTTTGAACCCGAAAACTACTTCTAAAAGCCGGGCCAAACATAAGTATTGAAGGTGAAGGGCAAATGGAAGAAGCTGCAGAAAGAGGTTTTAGGGAAGGATGCATCTCGTATGCAGTTGTGGGAGGATGCATAACTCATGAATTTGTTTACAATAAGATCCGATCCCTTGATTTTGAGTAAGACAATATTTGATGGACGAGATTAAAAAGTCTGTGAATTTATGATATTTTTCATCGATTTGTATTTCTTTTTTAAATTTAGAATTCAAATTTTTTTCACATAAATAACGTGTTATTTTAATCTACAAAACCATATTTATTATTGATTTGTATTTCTTTTGTAAATTTAGAATTCAAAATTTTTTCACATTAATAACGGGTTATTGTAATCTACAAAATCATATAGATTATTGATTATATTTCGAAGAAAATTTTTCAGACCACACATTATCTCTTTCATTTCTATTCAAAATTTGAAATTTATTTTACAGAAGTTACGAGTTTATCACGATATATAAAATTATATTGATTCTCGATATATCATTGAAATTTATTTTGGTACGAAATAAATCACCATTTATTATAGTGGGTAGATGGTGGCTAAATACTCCATTCCTACGGTATGGTATATTTCTACTTTCATGATACACTTCTATACCACGAAGGTCTACCACCACTGTATATAGTGATTAATTACGCACCTCCATTAGTGCTTGACATGTTACTCCAAAAAATATATAAAAAAATAGATGTAATTTTGAAGAATATCACTAACTTGTATAATACCATTAAAAATCCGAATCAAAACGAAAAAAGATACAACATTTTGATGAGAAAAAATAACCTCAAGTCTCGTGAACTGAAAAGATAATAATACAATAAATCTTTGAAAAGAAAAGAAAAGATACAACAACAAGAGTAACATTTTTCCCCCCCAAACAATCAAAGGAAACAAAATAGTTATCTTTTCCCATGTGACATGACCACATATATATATCCATTACAACGGATCCAGTTGATGATACGAGCTGGATCTCTGGATATTCAATCCTTATATGGCTACATTATCTAACATATAGTATACGTCCGACATACACCAGTCATTACAGTATATATATATATATATATATATAACTTCCATATATAACGTAACCACCCCAGGCCAGGATGAAACTTAGAATCCTAGCTACTTGTATATATATAAATATAAATATATGGATGAGTGAGTCAGTGTGAGAGTGGAAGGTGGAGGCGCTTCTTCCACATGGTCTTCCCCCTGACGATCTCCTCGCCTCCTAGTTTGTGGGCGCGCAGCAAATGAGTGTACGTGGTGGTGGTGTCCAAGTCCAAGTCCAAGTCCAAGGAAGGCAGCAGAGAGAAGCCGTTCAAGATGCCGATGTTGTTGTTGTTGCTGCCGTTGAAGGCATTGTGAAGGTGGAGGTTGATCTCGTCTTCGTCTTGGTCGGGATGGCACAGCGACTCCACCGTGTCCGACCTCCCGCATTCCCTCCTGTACTCCAGTATGATCCCCGACAGCTGCCGGGACTCCAGGAACTGGTCCGGGATCGCCTGCAAATGTTGTTTTTATTACGTGATTGGAAAATTGAAAACAACCCTAGCTAGCTAGCTAGCTTGCTAGGTTATATACCTCGAGCATCCAGTTGACGTATTTGACATTGTTGACATGGTGGTTCATGTCCAAGTCGCTCCTCCTTGGCTGCGAGTTGCAGAGTTAGTTAGTAATTAGAAGAGAGGTTATATATAGTGAAAGAGAAGGGGGTGAGATTATATTAGAAGGAGAAAGAACCTTCAAGTCGGTGTTTCGATATTTGGCAGTGGTGTCGAGCTTGAGGATTTTGGCGTCGTGAAGGGGTACGGGTATGGCTTGCTTGTGGATGAACCAGGGGGAGATCTCTTGCCTCACCTCCTCGGGCATCTTGGACAGCCGCCTCGTCTTCTCGTTCATCATCACCCACGTGCTGTACGTTTCATTCAGATTGCATTTTCAGCAGCAAAGCAAAAAAAGGTGGTGAAAGTGGGAAGGTATATATATACCTGGTGGCGCGGGCAAAGACTTGGCCGGTGGCTTGGCTGCGGATGAGCCAGTCCCGCCGCATCCCGTTCTTGCCTGACGCTCCCACCCACGTCTCTATGTCCAATACCTCTCCCCTTTCATACCATCCAATTGTTAGCCCAAATTAAATTTACCAACAGAAATGGCGCAATTTTATTTATTTATTTATTTATATAGCAAAGTTGTCAACCCGCGGGTCGATCCACTTTCGGTGAGAAAAATGGGTGCACGCACCCGCTGAGTCGACCAGGTCGCAAATTGTGTCAGTTTTTTTTATTTGGTTTGCGAAATGCGTTTATTTTTTTATTTTTATTTTCGCTTAACTCAATCTTTGGAATCCTTATAGTTGAACATTTGAATATTCATGTTATGTGTGTGTGTGAATTTTCACTATTATGTTGGATCTAAGTACGACATGTTATTTTGGTGTAATGTTATATGTTAATTACTCATATGCTAGATGAGATTTGATATAAATTATTAGGATAGGTACAATATAATGACTCTTTCTATATTTACGGGTTAAAATTGGCTAAAACGGGTGACCCGTTAACCCTTTACCCACTAATTCGACTGGGTCCAGATCAATCCACGGGTCTTGATATATTGGAATCATACATGCGTAGATGATAGAACATGTACGAATGTGTTGTCTTCTAGCTGGCTCCTACCTTCCTACCAGCATTCTTAACAAAGTTGTCTACTTGCTTACTTAGGCTTTGACACCAGTACTGATTAAGGTGTCTTTTAGCTAGCTAATTAGTTGTCGTCACGAAGAATTTGATGTGTTCTATGCTAATAAATAAATTCCTGCATAATTAGTTTTGTTTAAATTTTATGAAAAGAAGAAGACGGGATTTCTTGTAAACCGGCGCCGCCAGATTATAAACACATAAATGGCCGAGGACAAAAGCTCTTGTAATCATAAATAATAATTATGTGCTTATTGCTTATTGCTTTTGCAATATCAGAGATTTATGTGCTAATTGCTTTCTTATCATGTGTATTTCTTTCTACCAACTTACCAGATGGGGTAATGGTCGACCTGAACTTGCATTCTGGAGACGACCCAAATGAGGTTGTTCCTTACCATTCCATGCGTTGCACCAAACCCATTCCCCAGCAATCCCGACATCCACACATGATTCAGCGCCGTTTCCTGCTCCACCACCACCATTATTCTTATTATTATTATATTCTCACAACCGATGACAAGTGAAGAAATTTTTTTTTTGAACAGAATATATAAATAAGAAGCAAAAGCAGGCATACCTGAAGGAGATTAAGGATGCTGTCAAGCGTGGCGGTCTTGTCAGGGCCGACTTCATACGACCTGACAACCACAGTCTGCCTGTAGGCAACACCATTCTCAATCATCATCCCTTGCCTGTGCCTGTCCACCCACTTCTTCTCCCTCGGTATGTTCTGCCTCTTCTCCTCCTCCGCCACCGCCACTCCCTGCTGCTGCTGCTGCTGCTCACGATCAACCCTCACAGCACCACAAGAAGACGAAGAAGAAGATGTTGGAGAGGTGGCCGACTTCACGCCCTTCACCTTCACACTAGTACTGCTCATCTGTCTCTGCTGCTTGCTGCCTTCTAATTCGCACCTCGCCAGAGGCAGACGCAAGGAGATCGCCTGGCAAGACAAGGTAGACATTCTCTCTCTCTCTCTCTCTCTCTCTCTCTCTCTCTCTCTCTCTCTCTCTCTCTCTCTCTTCCCTTTGCTAGATCAGTACAAGACAGAGCTGCCGAATGCGTGTTTCCACTCTCCCTATATATTCTCTTCCTTTCCTTCTTGTTCCAATGGAAAAAGTTTGAAATGGCGGAGTGGGAATCGATGGCATTTATAAGGAAATGTGAAAGACAGAAAACGACAAAATGGCGGGGGGAGCGCATTTTTTCTCTCTCGATTTTCTTGGAGAGCCGGGGGAGTTGGACGACAGTAGATATCTCCAAGATAAAGGCCCTAGTATTACGTGTCTTGTGGAATTATTACAAAATTGTGTTCTGTTCCACCACACACACGCAGACGCAGGAGGAGCATTGTTGATCATCATTAGTTGTTTCCCTGCGCGCTCTACAACAAAACAGATCAATACATTACGTACACAAGAGTACGAAACAATACGCATATACTACGTATTTATCAATGGTAAATCACACATATATATCAGCCCCAAACAATGAACCGGACATTTAAAAAAAAGTTGTTCTAATAACATATTTTTACATGATGTGCAAGTAGGCTTACTATATATGCTCCATCGCGGCATCATGATCGATTGATCTCCAATGGTCACAACTGTTGTATGAAAGCCAGTCATCGACCCATGAGGAAGAACTGGGAAACGTACACATCAAGTCATCGGACATAGAAGAGAAAAGGAAGCCCTGGACATCAAGGTCTGCATTTAGGAAGAATTTCCAAATGTAGAGGCAGCCGATTTGGTACAGCTACAGAATCATCTCAAGGAAAACAATTAAGGGAAGAAATTCAAATGAAGGAGAATGTCGCGGGCTGAAGACCAACGGCTAGTTACAGAAAGATAAAAAGTCCACAGAGAAGAACAAGAAAGCAACTTTTGGAGAGATCAATCGTCCAAGAGCACAGAGGAGTTTCGTGAGTGACGATAGATAAGAAAAGTAGCTCCAATCCAAAGATCAGGAGTGATTGTGTATTAGAGGGTGTGTCGGAGGACACAGTAGCTGGATAGCTGATTGTGCGAGAAGTTCAGTGTGTCAGATTGACCTTCCGAGTGTGGTTGGTGAATCGTACTTGTTTCGGAGCAGTCAAGAAAATCTCTTAGTGAATTGGCGAGAATCACAATTCAGTGATCTCTCGTCCGTGGAGTAGTCAGAGCTAGGTTTCATTTTCACTCAGCTCTGGAAACCACGTAAAAGCCCCTGTGTCAATTTATTTTAAGTTCTGCAACAGTTCAATCTTAATCTGGTTTCTAGCTTGGTTAGTGTTTTGGAAAACAGGGGAATTGAATCTGCCTAGAGAAGGATACAGTACAAGCAGCGTGGAGTTAAAACGCGCAGTTTAGTAAAGTGCAACGATCTGCCTCAACAGGCCAAATCGAGAAACTTAAAGTAGTTGGGCTCAAGTGATCAGGCCCAACCAAAATAAGCATATCAGTTTCATTCTTCATTTTGTGTTTGTTTTCTTTTCTGATTCTTTCATCTAGTATCATTACTCCTTTGATCGATCTTGCTCTTAACAGAAGGAAGAGTTAGGGTTTCAGGGGTGATCAAAGGATAGAGAGGAAGGAGGCATCTCGCGCTCGACGCCTATTAACACGTGGTATCAGAGCTCGGTCGCTGATCAAACAGGTTTTACAACCCAGGCGATATCCAGGATGGCGTCAGGTTCTTCAAGCGCAGCTCCGTTGTATCTTGCTGATGGATTCTCATAAAATCGTCCACCGTGTTTTGAAGGGGTCAACTATGGTTATTGGAAGAATAGAATGGAGTTGTTTGTCGGATCAACAGATCCAAAGCTGTGGGCAAGAGTAATCAAAGGGCCATACGAGCTTAAAGCAGATCAAGAGAAGTGGAGCGATGAGGATTACGAAAAATTTCAGCAAAATTGCAAGGCGACCAACTTGATGTATTGTGCCTTGGGTCCAGAAGAATATCATAAGGTTGCTGGGTGCAAGACAGCAAAGGAAATCTGGGATAAACTTCAGGTCACTTACGAAGGTACATCTCAAGTTAAAACTTCCAGAATAAATTTGCTTAAACATCAATTCGAGCTATTCAAGATGGAAGAAGGGGAAACAATACGACAGATGTATGAGAGATTTACAACATTGTAAATAGTTTGGAAAATCTTTGCAAGACATATGAGAGTGGAGATCTTGTAAGAAAGATACTGTGGAGTCTACCTGAAAAATGGACTCCTAAGGTAACAGCTATTGAGGAAGCAAAGGACCTTGAGAAGCTAGCTATTGATGAACTGATTGGGTCTCTGACCACTCATGAGGATAAACTAATGAAAGGTGGGTCAGATAGTAGTGACAAAGGTAAAAAGGGGATTGCCTTTAAAGCAATCAGCGTGACAGAGGAATCATAAGAATTAGAGGACATGGAAGATGAGGAACTAGCACTGTTAAGCAAGCAGATAAGTAGGCTACTAAGAATTCGAAAGGAGAAGAAGATGGGAGGATCTAAGGTCAAAGAAGCAGATAGAAATGAGGGTGTGGCAAGATATGGTCAGTCTCGAACATCCACAAAAGTCAGAAATGATGTCAATCATATTCCAAAGGGTATTGGATCTACTGGATGCTTCAAATGTGGACGATCGGGGCACATCAAAGCAGAATGTCCACTGCTTAAACGAGAAAAGGCATATGTAGCCACTTGGAGTGGAAGTGAAGATGAAGGAGAAGAAGAAGATGAGGTGACAGTGCATAGATCATTCATGGTAGTAGCTGAAGGAATAGAAGATGATGAAGAAGTGCCTGAAATTCGCCAGTCCACTCAGGTATGTGATCCTAATTTAAATGAACTAAGTGAGGCTGAAGATGAAAGTGATGATGAAGTTTTAGCTCAAACTATTAAAGAGATTCAACTAGAATTTGGAAACGTGAAAATCAAGTACACCAGACTTAAAAGAGAGAATGAAATAAATCTTAAGAGAATAGAAGAACTAGAGTATAAGCTGAAAGTAAGTGAAGCAAGCAATAGTGAACTGTTAAATAATCTTGAGAACAGTGAGAGTGAAAGTAAAAAACTTCTAAAGGAATGTCTAAGCTTAAAAGAACAAGTGCAGAAGAAGTTGACTCACAAAGTAGGATACTATCATTCAAAAGTAAGCCATGAATCAGTCAAACACATAGAATGTTATTATTGTCATAAGAAGGGCCATTTGATAAGAGATTGTAAAAAACGATTGTGGTCAGAAGCAAAGAAAAATATATTAGTTGGTAACAATAGATACATCAGGAATAGTCAATCATCACAAGAACCCAAGAAAGTCTGGGTTCGAAAAACAGCATGACTTATGTGTATGCAGAGTTGTCTTCAAGTGAGCATGGAGACATCTAAATGGATCATGGATAGTGGTTGCTCACATCACATGACAGGTAACAAGTATTTATTTTCAAGTCTTGAACAAGGTAGATTCGGTAAAGTATTTTTTGGTGATAACAACTCTGCTGAAATAATTGGAAAAGGTCAAGTTGGGTCATGTCCTTCTATAAAAAATGTTATGTTAGTTAGTAGTCTGAAACATAATCTTATGTCTATCAGTCAAATGTGTGGAAAGGAATGTAGAGTCATTTTTGAACCTAATTGCTGCTATGTTGAAAATAATAAATCCAAACAGATTTTGTTTACTGGGAAAAGGAATGGTAAAATCTATACTATTGATTTAAATGATAAAGACAATTTTAATGAAACTTGCTTAATCAGTTTGGACAATAAATCTGCAAGAGGACTGGCATAGGAGACTAGGTCATGTAAATGTGAGTACTTTGTCAAAATTAGCTCGGTTAGATCTGGTAAAAGGGTTGCCTAAGATAAATGAAAAACGAGAATTCTTCTGTGATGCGTGTGCTAAAGGGAAGCAAACTAGGTCTAGCTTCAAGAGTAAATCAGTCATTTCCACATCCAGACCTTTGGAACTGTTACATCTTGATTTTTTGACCTACTAATGTTGTAAGCTATGGGGGAAAATCCTATGCGTTTGTGGTAGTAGATGACTATTCTAGGTTCACGTGGGTTTTGTTTTTAAGTAAAAAGGATGAAGCTTTTGAAAATTTTAAGACCTTACTTAAACGGATTGAGAATGAAAACTTGTCTAAAGTTTACAGTATTAGGAGTGACCATGGAGGAGAATTCTCCTCTGAGTCCTTTGAAATCTTCTGTAATGAACTTGGAATCTTTCATAACTTCTCTGCTCCTAGAACTCCTCAGCAAAATGGGGTAGTTGAAAGGAAAAACAGAACTCTAATTGACATTGCTCGCACCATGTTGCATGACTATGGAATCCCAAAATATTTCTGGGCTGAGGCAATTAATACAGCGTGCTATGTGGTTTATAGAGCATTAGTCAGATCAGGTTTAAACAAAACACCATATGAACTATGGAAAGGGAGAAAACCAAATATGGGGTACTTTCGTACTTTTCCAAATATGGGGTACTTTCGTACTTTTGGATGCAAGTGTTTTGCCCTAAATACCAAAGATAATCTTGGGAAATTCTATGCAAAGTTTGATGAAGCTGTATTCTTAGGGTATTCTAACTCGAGTAAGGCCTATAGGATCTTTAACAAACGGACCCTCAAAGTTGAGGAGTCCATCAATGTGGTATTTGATGAAGCTGTTGTTGAGATTACATATATATCAGATGATGATGACTTTGGTCTGGGAAGATCATCTTCAGTTTGCACAGATAAGGGAATTGAGGATCAATGTTTGAAAGAGAAGTCAACAGATAACCTGAATACTGAATCACAGAACCAGAATTCACAACTCAATGAGAGTGAAAGTAGACTACAATTGACAGGAAAAGGAGGAGAAGCAAGTTCATCTTCAGTCAATCTGCAACCTCCAGCCCACATTGTCAAGAGACATCCGGCCACACAAATTATTGGACCTATGGAAACAGGTATCATCACTAGATCCAAAGCTTTACCATCTCACACTGCTTTTGTGTCCCTTGTTGAACCTAAGTCAGTTAAAGAAGCCTTGTTGGATGAATTCTGCACTGCAGCTATGTTTGATGAAATGCATCAGTTTGAAAGAGCAAATGTGTGGGAACTCGTTCCCAAACCTAAAAACAGGGTTATCATAGGAACTAAATGGATCTATAAAAATAAAACGGATGAAGTAGGGGTGATAACTAGAAATAGAGCTAGGCTAGTAGCTCAAGGGTACAATCAGGAGGAGGGAATAGATTTTGATGAAACTTTTGCTCATGTAGCACGACTTGAAGCAGTTAGAATGTTATGTGCTTTTGCTAGTGCTTCAAAAATTAAACTCTATAAAATGGATGTTAAGAGTGCTTTCTTAAATGGAGATATGAAAGAGGAAGTTTATGTAGCCCAACCCCCTGGTTTTGAAGATCCAAATTATCCGAATCATGTGTATAGATTAAAAAAGGCCCTATATGGTTTAAAACAAGCTCCCGGAGCTTGGTATGATAAATTGAGTTCTATTCTATTAGATAATGGTTTTCACAGAGGGTCAGTGGATAAAACATTGTTTACTAAACATAAGGCAGGTCATCTGTTACTGGTACAAGTGTATGTTGATGATATTATTTTTGGGGGAACTAGTAAGGAAATGTGTCTAGAATTTGAAAAACTTATGAAGACTAACTTTGAAATGAGTCTTATGGATGAGTTAAATTACTTTCTGGGTTTACAGATAAAACAGACATCTGAAGGAATTTTTATAAGTCAGTCAAAATATATCCAGAGTATGCTGAAACGCTTTGATTTTGGAAACTTAAAAACTGATGTTACTCCCATGGCAACTTCACAAAAAATTGACAAAGATGAGTCAGGGACCCCTGTAAATGAAAAATTGTATAGGTGGCTAATAGGATCTCTCCTATATGTGACTGCAAGCAGACCCGATATTCTGTTTAGTGTATGTGTCTATGCCAGATTCCAGAGTGCACCAAAAGTGAGTCACTTATCTGCTGTCAAGAGGATTTTTAGATATTTGGCTGGTACTGTGGAATTTGGACTCTGGTATTCCTGTGAATCCAGTTTAGAATTAGTAGGGTACTCTGATTCAGACTATGCAGGGTGCATAGTTGATCGGAAAAGTACTTCAGGAACTTGTCACTTTATGGGGTCTTCTCTGGTGGCATGGTTTAGTAAGAAACAGAATTCTGTAGCCTTGTCTACTACAGAAGCAGAGTACATTGCTGCTGGATGCTGTTGCACACAGCTTCTGTGGATGAAATACCAACTTCTTGACTATGGTTTAGAATTTGGCTCCCTTCCTGTGCTATGTGACAACACTAGTGCAATCAATATGTCCAAAAATCCTGTGCAACATTCAAAAACCAAACACATAGAAATTCGTTTTCATTTCTTCCGAGAACTAGTTCAAGATGGAAAAATTCATCTTGAGTTCGTTCCCACAAATTTTCAATGGACTGACATATTCACAAAGCCCTTGGGATCGGATTCTTTTCTTCAAATCATACGAGAGTTAGGTCTCTTTTCCTTAAGTGACATTACTCAGGACCTTCCTTAACTAGGATTCAGGGATTCTCTCGTCAGAGGTCGTCTATTCTTTAGGTCCAAGCCTTTCCTTGTTTCTGGCTTTCCTCATTTCTACCCTACCTTCCATCTCTTGATCTTGAATCATCTATAAAATCCTTAGGATCAAGTCTCTCTTCTCATCGTTCAAACAGTTTCTCTCCTAAAAATATACTTCCGCTTCTTTAAGCAATTAGGGCTGGCCCTCAACAGCATGTTGCTTCCCTGCGATTGGCGCAAGCAGCCATTTTCAATGGCAAAGGATTTGAGGATGCTGCTGGGTATGCTCCATATCTTCTCAAATTCCAAGATCGTTCCTTATGTCCTTCCATCACTCTGGATCCCTCTCGGTTTAACAGGTATGGGATGGATATTCCACGCCTGATTAATTCGATTGGCTGGGGTGATATACTCCCTAATCGTAATTTTGGTTTTCGGCCTGAGGCTGTAAGGATGTTCTATGCGAACATGAAGCCATGCTTCCAAATCTCCCCACCCTGTTTTACTACGATAGTTTACAACTATCTGATCACTATCAATGTGGAACTCTTGTCACTGCTTCTTGGAATTCCCGTTGCTGGTGCAGAAGTCCAGAATGAGTCTGACTTTCACTCAGTTGACTTGAATGAGGGGGATGCCCTGCGACTGTATACTTGTGATACTGGTCTCTATTACCCTTCTGACTTCCATTCTAGGAGACTTCCTGATGATCTCAAGGTTTTACACTTCTACATCACGAGGGCTTTTCTACCTTGATCCCATGGGCTCAATACACTTTACCCCTCGGATCTGTGGATCCTCGCTAGTGCAAAGGAAAATCACGTCATTAGCTATCCACATCTCATGTTCGATCACATGATGAACCATCATGATGCCAACTATGATGGAGAACTCCCTTTTGCTCCTCAGATAACGCAGATCCTGCTGGCTTTGGGTTTGGATTTGCGTTTCAAAGTAGCTCGAGTAGACATACTTAGCTCTCTTCGGGCTCAGTTTGTGCTCCGCAAAGTTGATGCTTCTATTGGACGCCGTCGCCCGCTGGTTAATGCTCCAGGGGGAGAAGCAGTTGTCCATGAAGTTCCTCCTCACGAGGATGGACTCAGTCTTGCAGACTTGGGAGAAGAAGAGGCTAAAGAAGCGCTAGAGACAATAGATATTGTTGGGATGATAAGGGATAATGGCAAACAACCGATGGTGCATCCCTTGGAAGTCATTCAAGCTTTGTTTCGACAGGAGGGGGAAGCTAGTAGCAGTAGGAATCATATGCAGGAAGATGAAGATGGGATTTCTGATTATGTTTCTTCACCTGATTATGGGTTCTAGGATGAATATCTATCTTAGGGGGAGTTAGTTAGGTTGGGGTCTTTCTGGTTGGATTATAGTTGGAGGCGCCCTTAAGAGTGAGTCTGTCTGTCTTTCTTTTCAACTCAGCATGCCTGAGTATGTGTCCGAATGTCTTCGGCTTTAGTTCTGTGTCTAAATGTTTTGTCTGGATTTTGAATAAATAAACTCCCCTTTAATTAAAACAGTTCGTCTCTTCGTAATCCAGTTTGTGTTGGGAGCAGTCTGCACGTAACGGTGTGTTTGAGTGTGTGCAGGAACTGCATTTACAGCTGAAGGGATCATTGACTGGCTTAGGGGGAGAATGTTGTATGAAAGCCAGTCATCGACCCATGAGGAAGAACTGGGAAACGTACACATCAAGTCATCGGACATAGAAGAGAAAAGGAAGCCCTGGACATCAAGGTCTGCATTTAAGAAGAATTTCCAAATGTAGAGGCAGTAGATTTGGTACAGCTACAAAATCATCTCAAGGAAAACAATTAAGGGAAGAAATTCAAATGAAGGAGAATGTCGCGGGCTGAAGACCAACGACTAGTTACAGAAAGATAAAAAGGCCACAGAGAAAAACAAGAAAGCAACTTTTGGAGAGATCAATCGTCTAAGAGCATAGAGGAGTTTCGTGAGTGACGATAGATAAGAAAAGTAGCTCTAATCCAAAGATCAGGAGTGATTGTGTATTAGAGGGTGTGCCGGAGGACACAGTAGTTGGATAGCTGATTGTGCGAGAAGTTCAGTGTGTCAGATTGACCTTCCGAGTGTGGTTGGTGAATCGTACTTGTTTCGGAGCAGTCAAGAAAATCTCTTAGTGAATTGGCGAGAATCACAAATCAGTGATCTCTCGTCCGTGGAGTAGTCAGAGCTGGGTTTCATTTTCACTAAGCTCTGGAAACCACGTAAAAGCCCCTGTGTCAATTTATTTTAAGTTCTGCAACAGTTCAATCTTAATCTGGTTTCTAGCTTGGTTAGTGTTTTGGAAAACAGGGGAATTGAATCTGCCTAGAGAAGGATACAGTACAAGCAGCGTGGAGTTAAAACGCGCAGTTTAGTAAAGTGCAACGATCTGCCTCAACAGGCCAAATCGAGAATTTAAAGTAGTTGGGCTCAAGTGATCAGGCCCAACCAAAATAAGCAGATCAGTTTCATTCTTCATTTTGTGTTTGTTTTCTTTTCTGATTCTTTCATCTGGTATCATTACTCCTTTGATCGATCTTGCTCTTAACAGAAGGAAGAGTTAGGGTTTCAGGGGTGATCAAAGGATAGAGAGGAAGGAGGCATCTCGCGCTCGACGCCTATTAACAACAACACAAAGGTTGATGACTTCACTAGACACACACATGGATCTTCACCATGAAACACAATTCAGAAGCTCGACCAATCATCAGATCTTTTTCTACATTTGCAGAAACTCAGTTTCACTCTAAAATTAAGGCTATTAGAACCATGGTAAAGGAAACCGTACCGGAAGTCATACCGGCTCCGCCAGTGGTAGGGTATTTTGTGGTACTACCGTGGTTCAATCGTTGTGTACCGGCAAAATACCATTTTTGTAAATAAATAATATTTTTTTGTGAAAAAACCGTACCGGCAGATTTGTGATACTGTTTCGGAATTATACCGGAATAAAACCGGAATATACCGGATAACAAACCCGAATAAACTAAATAAGCATATGTAATATAAAATTCAACAAACTGCAACATTACTGAATTAACTACATAATCGTTCAAATGCATGTTTACGATCGAGTACAAACAACATTCTTAAACCACAAGTTCAAACAACATTCTCAAACCAAACAACATTCTCAAAACACAAGTTCACAACTACCACAAACACAAACTAGCAAGCACTACAATGTTCACAAACAACGTTTCATATCGTCAAACAACACCAAATGTAGATAAGTCTACATTCTCCAAGTCGTTCCCTTCATCTTCTTCATCACCAACTACAGTACAAGAGAAAACAAGTAAGAATTATTATCAATTATTAGTATTAGAATTCATATCATACATAATTGATTTACAAACAAACCTTCCTCTTCTAATGCTCGATCCAGCTCATCAATATCCAATTCCTTTTCCCTAGAAAATGAACCTTCTTCCCCTTCTGACAACCAGTGACTAGTAACAGTAGAATCAATGCTTTTAAGGCTTATGGGATCATATGATTCTTTTTTGTTCTTGGTATAATACTCCCTAATCAAAGTAGAAAACATAAAATAATTCAATTCAATAGTAAGCATAGAAAGTATGAATTGAACACACAAGTTCTATAATTCAAATCCTTACCTATTCTGCAATCGCAAGTTGTAATTCACAAACACCAAGTTACTAAGCACTTTATGCTGCAACCTGTTTCTTCTTTTGGTATGCACACGTTCAAAGACACTCCAATTACGTTCACAACTAGAAGAAGCAGCAGTTTGGCTAAGAATTCGAATAGCCAACTTCTGAATATTTGGAGCATCAATGCCAAACCATTTCCACCACTTATCTACATATAAAACATAGATGTTAGTTTCTTAAATATTGTAATAAATAGAAGAACTTCAATGTAAGTGATATTAATTACCTGGTTGTTGTTTCTGTGCAGAATCTATTGCCATCTTCCTCCCAAAGTTTCCTTCCTTTTCAGCATACAAATTCATCTCCGCCACCACCACACTATTATCAGGACATAAAGACGAGTTCTTAAGAAGATTAAGAAGTCCAAATGTCACCGCCCTATCCTCTGTCCAATCTTCAGCATACTTCATAGCCGGATTAAGATAGTGAGCTGCCATAAACAAATCACGGCTCAAGTGCTTATCCCATCTCCTATTAACGATATCCATGTATGGTTTGTACATCTCCTCCTTATCTCCACAAACAGTCTTAATAGCATTTGACACCCTAGTCATCCCATCATACACATACCCCATTGCTGGATTACTGTCTGAATCCACAACTCGAAGCAACTTAACAATCGGAGCTGTCAACTTAACAATGAAGTCACAATCAGCCCAAAACTGTTGATCTAGTACAATTGCCTTCACATCCTTTCCATCCTTAGTACTTGAAAGATCACTTTCTCTAAAGAACTCACTAATCACCAGTTCCTCCAAATCATGCATGTGCTCAAAAGTACTCTGCAAACTCAGAAATGTAGTAGCAAATCTAGTAGCACCAGGTTTCACTATTTCTTTCCAATTCTCCTTTGTCTTCAACCAGAAATAAATTGGACCATGATTGTAAACAAATTTGGAGACCTTGGTAGCTCAATAGGCAAGCTTCTTAACATGAGGAATAGATCCAATGTCACTCAATATCAAGTTAAGGGTATGAGCAACACAAGGAGTCCAATATATATGACCATAATGCTCATGTATCATTGTCCCTGCCAATTTATAGTTGGATGCATTATCGGTCACCACATGAACAACATTTTCCGCTCCAACCCAATCAATGACCTCAGAAAATAACTTAAACAAGTTCCTTCCACTCTTGACCAAACCAGAAGCATCAATGGACTTCACAAAGCATGTTCCAGCAGGAGAATACACAAGAAAATTGATTAAGGATCTACGCCTATTATCCGTCCAACCATCCGCCATAATAGTGCATCCAGATTCCTTCCAATGAGACCTCAAACTCTCAATCAATAGGTGACATTCATTCACAATGCTATCCAACAAAGTAAACCTCAAAGCATAATATGTAGGACCGCCATAACCAGGACCAAGAGTCATAGAAGCATCCAATGCTATTTTAAATTGTGGAGATTTAATTGCTTCTAAAGGAACACATGCATCATAGAACCATCTAGCCCATGCTCGATCCACATACAATACAGCTTCTTTAGTTGCTAATGCACTCTTTATTCCCGGTTGACTACCGGAAGATGACCGTGGAGCAAAGAAAGTGTCAACCGAGCCCGTAGACAAATTAGGAGCAACTCTTTTAGCACTATTCTTTAAATCCAGCTTTGACAACTTCAGATTTCTTCTTACTAGTTTCATAATTAGTCAATAGCTTCTGCATGTTTTCGCTCACCTCTTCCGGAACACTTGAGCATATTGCATTATCCCCACTAACACCAGCTAGATGTTTTTTCATTCTAGTGATTCCTCCGCCTCTAAATTCTTTTTGACAATAGAGACAAGTGAGTACCTCCACTTTTCCATCCTGATGCAAGGAACAATGAGCCCAAGTTGGATCACTTTTGCTTCGTACACCCTTTGCGGTAACCTTCGGATTACTAGCAGTTGCTCCTTTATCAACCGATCCGGCTTCTTTTCCACTAGCCATTGATGTCAAAACAGCCAAAATTCTCATTAGAATTTAGGGCAGAACATTGGAAAAAAAACATACAGGGCAGGAATACATGGATCATGCAGTTCAAAAGCAATGCAATGTAGCTCAGTATATAATCTGCTGTTCCTTCTGAAGCAATGCAATGCAGTTCAAAAGCTTCTTTTACTACTGGTTTTAATCACAGAACTCAGTTCTTTTAGTTTTCTTTTACTTAATTTATTGGACAATAGAGTACAGCTGTTGTTCCTTCTGAAGAATGACTAATTTATAGATAAGGAACTCAGTCTATTAATCAGTTTTATTAAGTAATGGTCACATGATTTACAAATCATACCGTGAAAGAAAGCACAACAAAGCCTCGACATCAGTCTAAAAATATATGTGGATAAGGAACAATTATAGATAAGGAAGCACAACAAAGCCTCGACACTTATAGATAAGGAACTCAGTCTACTAATCAGACTAAAAATCATAGTGTCTTTGGTTTGGAGAATCAATATACTATATATATACAGTTGAAGACCAGTCCAACATTGATATCTCGATCAGTTCAGGGTTTCCTTTACTTGCTGCCGCCGTGTTCTTCTTCAGCAAGGGAGGGGCGCGCGAGCCGGTGCCGGAGACGATGGCCGGTCGTCGAGCAGAGGAGGGAGGATCGCCGCTCGTCGAGCAGAGGAGGGAGGGTCGCCGCTCGTGTTCTTCTTGAGCAGGGGAGGGGCACGCGTGCCGGTGCCGGAGACGATCGCCGGTCGTCGAGCAGAGGAGGGAGGATCGCCGATCGTCGAGCAGAGGAGGGAGGGTCGCCGGTCGTCGAGCAGAGGAGGGAGGGTCGAGCAGAAGAGAATTCGCGTGGGCAGCAGCAGCAACGAAGCGGCCCGATGATTTAGGGTTTTCCTTTTAGGCTTCGGCCGATTTCTTTTTTTTTTTTTCCTGAATGCAAAACGGCGCCGTGTCCTCCTTATCAGCTCACCCCCGGTTAGACCAAAACCGGGCGGTTTTTTGAGTTGAACCAGTTTTACCTGTAAAACCGACCGAAACATTTCTTTCGCTACAAACCGTGTATCGTATCGGCCAGGCGCCGATTTCCGGTTTTACCGGTTCAACTGGCCGGTACGATCCGGTTTCCTTTACCATGATTAGAACAGACAATGGCCTTGAATTTCAAATCCCAGATTTCTATAGTTCTAAAGGCACAGTTCACCAGACAACCTGTGTCTATACATCTCAACAAAATGGTATATTGTTGAAAGAAAACATCATCATATTTTAGCTGTTACATGAGCTCTCTTATTTCAAGCCACCTTACCTTCACAGTTCTTGAACTATGCTGCTATGCATGCAGTTCATCTCATAAACAGAACACTATCTACAATGTCACTCCATTTGAAAAGTTGCACGATGTTTTCCCAAACTAAGCCATCTAAAGGTGTTTGGATGTCTCACCTATGCTGCTACTATCCAAGCCACCAGAACAAAGCTTGATCCAAGAGCTCACCCCTGCATTTTTTGGGACACCCTCATGGGACCAAAGGTTTCAGATTATACAATCTAACCACCCACAAATACTTTTATATCTAGAGATGTTTCATTTCATGAAACAATCTTCCCCTTGGCCTAGAAAAATCAAAATCTGGATAACTTAGTTCTTTTACGAGTTTTTCCAACAGTGATTGCAGAACCGGATTTCACAAAAGCACATACCAGTTCTCCCTCACACCTGTCATATCCATCTCTTCCTCAGTCTACTTCACTATCAGACAATTCTTCTGATTTACCATATGCACCCCACACAACTTCCAATCTTACTGAACCTCCACAATTAAGGAGATTCACCAGACAAACTGTCAAACCTGCTAAACTCAAAGATTACAAATGTAATCTGGTTAGTCAAGCAAATCTCATTTCTAAAACCACATATCCAATTCAAGCAATGTTGTCATACAACTAGCTAAGTTCTAATCACAAACGGTTTGCATTGGCTATTACTCAAACCAGAGAACCCACAACATATAAAGAAGCATCCAAATCTAAGGAGTGGTTGCAAGCAGTTAATTCTGAGTTTGCTTCCCTCGAGAAAACCAAAACATGGGTTCTGGTTGACCCTCCCCCCAATGTACCAATCATTGGCAACAGATGGGTTTTTCGACTAAAGTTTTAAACATGAGGTTCCATTGATAAGTACAAATTCAGGTTAGTAGCCAAAGGCTACACACAAACACCTGGAGTTTTTTACTTGGGTACATTTTCTCCAATTGTCAATATGACAATAGTTCGAATTCTTCTAGCTCTAGCAGCAATCTACAACTAGCACCTTGAGCAGCTAGATGTCAACACAGCTTTTCTTCATGGAGACCTTAATGAAGAGTGTCTACATGAAGTTACCTCCTGATTGACAAGCTAGTCCATCTGATAAAAATAAAGTCTACAAATTTACCACATCACTTTACGGTTTAAAACAAGCCAGCCATCAGTGGTTTGCCAAGCTTGCTGCCACATTAGAACAGTTGGGTTATCAAAAATCCCATAGTGATTATTCCCTTTTCACTAAACACAGTGGTACATCTTTTATTGCTCTCCTAGTATATGTCGATGACATAATCTTAATAGGAAACGATATGTCAATATGACAGCAGTTCGAATTCTTCTAGCTCTAGCAGCAATCTATAACTGGCATCTTCAACACAGCTTTTCTTCATGGAGACCTTAATAAAGAGGTCTAAATTAAGTTACCTCCTGGTTTACAAGCTAGTCCATCTGATAAAATAAAGTCCATAAACTTACCACATCACTTTACGGTTTAAAACAAGCCATCCGTCAGTGGTCTGCCAAGCTTGCTGCCACATTAGAACAATAGGGTTATCAGAAATCCCATAGTGATTATTCCCTTTTCACTAAACACAGTGGTACATCTTTTATTTCTCTCCTAGTATATGTCGATGACATAATCTTAACAGGAAACGATATGCCAGAAATCAAACATGTCAAACATCAGTCGGATCTTGCTTTCACTATTAAAGACCTAGGCGAAATACTTCATTGGGATGGAAGTTTCCAGGTCTGCAACAGGCATCCACCTTTGTCAAAGGAAATACATACTTGATCTCCTCTCTGAAACAGGGTTCCTACCCTCTAAACCAACTACCACTCCTTCTATATCTGTCACTCATCTTTCTGCACATGAAGGAACATTACTGAATGAAACTGATCATAGCAGCTACAAGACTTTAATTGCTAGAATTTAGTACTTATGCAATACTCGTCCTGACATCTGTTACACTATAAATCAGTTGAGTCAGTATGTTGATTCCCCTACAACAGTTCATGAGCTGGCTACCCACAGAGTACTACGATACTTAAAAACAACTCCTGCCAAAGGACTTTTTCTTTCCTAACAACTCTTCCATTCGTCTCACTACTTTCTTAGACTCTTATTGGGCTGGTTGCACCGAGACAAGACGCTCAGTAACAGGTTTTTGTGTTTTTTTAGGCAATTCACTCATCAGTTGGAGGTCCAAAAAGCAACAAACCATCTCACGATCGTCCGCCAAAGCAGAGTACATAGCCCTTGCAGACACTTCTCAAGAGCTCCAATGGATGTCAATCCTGTTTAAATAGCTTCCCGTTCAGCCACAACAACCATACACGATCTACTGTGACAACCTATTGGTAGTAAAGATGACCCAAAACCCAGTTCAGCACAAAAGAACCAAACACATCGAGGTTGATTGTCACTTCACCAGAGATCAAGTTCTCGCCAACAAATTAAAGGTTCAACACATTTCAACTACCTTGCAATTCACATATCCATTCACCAAAGCGCTTCCAGTCCATACCTTCGTCCATTTGATTTCCATGCTCAACCTGAAGGCCATCCACGTTTAGCTTGAGGGGGGTATCAAGGATACGAAGGACCAATTTGTAGTAGATTCAAATGTATAGGATTAGTCTTATATGTAATTAGATAGATTAGGTACTAATATGTAATTTAGTTAGTCAGTTAGGACCTGTAACTGATTTTCCCTCCTTTTCTCTCTCTTCACTAACTCTGTAAACCGATTATAAATCTAGCTGAGACAGCTAGATAGTGTACGTTTTCTAGCTACTAATCAAGAAATCAAGTTTCCTTTAAGTAATCTAGCATTTATCAATGGGAAATCAAGCATATATCAGCCCCAAACAATGAATCGGACATTTAAAAAAATGTTCTAATAACATATTTACACAAATATTGCGTTATGTAGGCATGATGTCTAAGTACTCTTACTATGCTCCATCACGGCATCATGATCGATTGATCTCAAATGGTCACAACACCACAAATAATCATAAATTGAGCAATGGTGTAAAAGACATAAAACAAAATTCTAGCTTTTAAATCATATAAATATAGGAAGGTAGATCTCATAGTTTCACATTTCCTTAACTTCTCTCATTCAAAACAATGCATGAGACTTTCATCTCATACAACTCCTATGTGATAAAAAGAAACTGAAGCTCATTATCTTTTTTTTTATTACCTTCCTATACTCCTGACTCACCACGGATACACCGCATTTTAAATCTCGACTAGAGCTCAAGCATAAACTCTATCCGGGTGCAGTATAGGGCAAGTATGTTTTAATTGTCAAACCCGAGCCAGTCCATGTACCCCTCCTTCAATCGCTTAAGTTGTTATCTAGCGAAACACTTTTGGGTTTAAAACTAAGAAAACTACAAAGTAAAAAAATAGGGACTGGCCCGAACTATACACTTAAAATAAACAATTTGGCCAAATCCGACTTTTGACCGTTAACTTGGATGGTCAAACGCGTTGACCGTTAGTCAACGTGCCATGTCACTGCCAAATCAGAATAAAATATTTAAAATAATTCACAATTTTCACACATTCCCTAATTTTAAGTTATTATAAATTTTAAAAAATAATCTAATACCTTAGTTAAACCAAAAATAAAAAACGAAAAAATTAAATATTTATCAGATCTTCTGACTTGGCAGTGACGTGGTGCGTTGACCGTTAGTCAACGCGTTTGACCGTCCAAGTTAACGGTCAAACATCGGGTTTGGCCAAATTGTTTATTTTGGTGTATAGTTCGGGCCAGGATGTTTAGATCGAAAAGATTGGCCAGGATGTTTATTTTGGTCAAATTTCAGGCCATACGAAAATATTAACCCAAAAAATAAGGAAAGTAAATCGAGGAGAATGCTACTTGAGAGGACTTCACCTGGATATTGCTCTCCTAGTCTCATATTAAGAAGCAGTGAACGAAACTCTAGGGTGAAGGATGTGTTCTTATACCGTGAGGCGAGTGCAACTAGCTAGGGATATACATTCTTAGTCTTTCGATTAAGGATTGCGACAAAAAGCTAGGGAACCTAGCTCTCTTAATCGATCAACCGATGAAACCCTAACTCTCTTAGTCGACCAATTTAGGATTGTGGCATTCAGTTAGTAGACTAACTCTCTTAACCTTTTGGCTAAGGACGACAACAATAGGCTAGACAATCTAACCCCTCTAACCCGGTCAACTAAGGATTGCAAACCAAGCCCTCGGATCTTAACCCGCACGACGGATAGACCAATCATGCTAGAATCATGGTACTACTCCGATACTTGAGGTTTTGGCCCTTAATCAGCCCAAAAGGGGTTACCTAAATGGCTAGGAGATCAAGCTCCCTATGGGCCAAAAGGGGATTTCCACCCACTAGGCTAATTTTGACCCAACAAAGAGATAATGCAAGCCAAATCACTAATCATGATTAGTTTAAGGTTGGTCCTCAATTGTCTCAGTGGGTACACAAATTGGCCAAGAATCAAGCTTCCCAAAGCCTCTTTCAACAAGGTGCTTCTCTCCACCTATGTCAAATTGATCCAATAATGAGTTAAAGCTAGCACACTCAATCATTCATGAAAAATACCTCAAATATTATATAAAACACACAATCAACACAATTGAATCAAGTTCTTACATCCTAACACACATCTAGACTAGGATTCACAATACCCAAGCGAGTAGGTAGGCTAATCAATAGCTAGGCAAAGGAAAACAACAAAAAGGAGAGAAAGAACCATGAATAGATGACAATCTTCCGGCCTTGTTGCTTGAATATCCATTGAGAAGAAGAAATCTTCAATCCTCTAGCTTGAATTGAGCCCAATCTCCTTCTTCCTCCTTTGAATGGTACTTTCTCTCTCTAGAATGGAAAACCATAATCTCTCACTAGAAACCCTCCTTTATTCTGAAAATTAAAAACCTTAGAAAAGCTCTCCCTCTCTTTCAGGTTCCTTCTCCTTTTATACATAGGTCGCGCCGAGTTCACGGTCCTAGTTCACGGCTGTGAACATCAAGCGTAGACCGTGAACTCAAACCAATTTGCATCGTTTCACTTAGCTGGTTCACAGTCTATGGCTTCAGTTAGACTTGAAGCCAGTAACTTGTAGAAATGCTCTAGAAGCATGGCGGTTCACGGTCTCGAGGAAATTGTCACGGTCTAGCGATCGTGACAATTTCGTCCAAACCGTGACTTTGGATGTTTTTTTTTTTACCTTTTCGCGCTTTTCGACCTCCAATCAACCCAAAACTCGTCCTCGACCTTCCCACACATGCTAGGACCTGAAATAAAACAAAAAAAAGCACACCGTAGTGTAAAATAGGTCGAGAGACGATGAAATGCAAAGTCAAACTATCAAGAATGAGGAGTAAAATGTGTGCATTTAGACCCGAATCAACTAACATTATTTTATCTTTCTCAATAAGAGGTCTCACTCTCACACCATCAACCAAATTGATCTGAGGACACTCTCATCAAGTCATCTTACATGATTTGATCGCTCATCAAGTCATCTTACATGATTTGATCGCTCATCACTTGATGCATTGTAAAGATTATTGATACAAGGTATGAATCACTCTAACTACACACTATCTCAACTATAGTTCAAGTGCAGCCTATAATCTGGTGTAGGATAGGATAAGTATTTCAATATCAATCCAAACATACTATCTATCCTTACATAGGTCATTTACATAGCAAATCATGGCACACTTCTTTGATGATCGAGGGATGACCCGAATTGGCCTAGAGAAGGTTACCCAAGTTGCCAAGAATGGGCTATAAGGGAATTTTCTCCTTCTATGTCAACTTGTACCTAAATTGAGGGCTTTGATAAATAACACCAAATTTCTATGAATAATGCCTCACTCATTATATAAATCAAAAACCCAACACACATAGAGTTCGAATCCTACAATCTACAATATCCTAGACTAGGGTTCACAACATCCTAGTGCAATAGGAGACTACTTCATACCTATAAGAGAAAATACAACTAAGACAAAGGAAAAGCCCATATCAAAGTGATTCTCCCACTTCCTACATGCTTGATTCAGTCCTTGGAGAAGACATGTGCCTTCCTCTAGCCTTGGGTAGGTAAAATTCTCCTTCCTTCCTTCTTAGCTCGTAGGTCTCTCTCTCTAACCTTTGAAGAAGAGCCTCCAATTTCTCTTCAGAACTCCCCCCCCCCTTTCAAATTAAGCTCACCCTGATTTATATAGTTCTCGAGTGCACAAATCACAGTCTTATATTACATTTGTGAAGTCGATAGTGAAACCGTGATCTCAATGCAAAATGCTTTGCTTTACTAACAAACTTCATGGGCTGCTTGTTGACTTCATGGTTTGGAGACCATGATCTTGACAATGCCCATGAACTGCGTGAATCCTCTTGGACGTGTGCAGAATTCATGGTTTTCTTGTCCACTTCACGGTCTACGCCCATGATATTTGCTTTGCAACCGTGATCCTTGCACTTTCAACCGTTTTGCTCCCTTTTCGCCCTCTTTTGTCCGACTTTCGATCCATGTGCCAATATTACATGTTAAGGTCTGAAACATGAAAAAAAAAGAACAAACCTCGCGTAAACTAGCTCCAATTACATATTGAAGTGGACGAGAGGGATCTTGAATCGGGCAACTTAGAGTCCCAATACAGATTTGTCCACATTTCATCAAGTGAGAACAGTGGACGGTTAACTTACAAGAGTAGCATATCGAGGAGGTTTAGTTCATAGACACAATGGGATGCTAATATTCTAGATGATATGGCAATTAATACATATGAGATTCATGACCCACTAGTGGTGATATTTCATCCATTGCTGCAATTTCCACTTGGCACACAAAGGAGGAAGGTTGAAAGGTGGGATCGAGTTAGAGTATGGACTCAAGGAGAGCGGGATTAGGAGGAGTTTTACTAGTACCAGGGTTGGGTGCTAGACAATGTTGGATTATTGGAGCTTTAACGCATCAAGGGGAGAGTGTAGACATATTGACAAGAGAGTTATTAGCAACTATGGAGGTGTTATCAGCAGGAAACTCAAGCCAGGTTATCACATACCAACTGGTGGGGAGGTGCTTCAAGGACATCTATAATAGCTTAGCAAAAAATCTAGGGATTCCACTACATTATCTGACGAAGGGAGTTCTCTCATGCACAGCTTGGGATGAACTGGGACTAAGAGACTCAAGCTATCCATTTCACTAGGCTTTAGTGAAAGATTTCGAGAATAAGGAGGCCAACTTCTTGGCAAGATATGCTCACCCCACCGACATTTGCAACTCACTATTGAGGTTTTTACACTACTTTGGCTGAACCATCTTTCACATGAGATCGATAGGTTATGGAGGGAAGGTTACTACAACGACGTGATGATACACCATAAACTTGTCCATGATTGGTAGTTGCATCCAGGATCGATCGTGGTGGACTTCCTTAACCATTCTTCTTTGTTTCGCACACATCGAGTACTTCCTGGCGGGGGCTATGTACATCGATAGTCATCAAGAGGATTATGGTTTTGCTCTACGCGAGACATTGGCCACCCATTGCCAAATATTCAGACAGTTGGCTTACATCTTTGCAGTCCAAAGGCTAACATCAGTGGAGTAGACGGAGCGGAGGAGACATGCCCCAACCATTCGACATGGATAGAGGCGAGAAAGTCGATTGCCAAGCTTATTAGAGAGGAAGAGATCTTATATCAAACGTATTTAGAATGATGCATGAGGAGACGTTGTCATCTTCATCATCATAACAAAGGCATGACCATGAATTCGGAGAAGATATGGCATCACTCAGGGAGACCTTGGAGAGAGTTGAAGAGAACATGGATCTCTACTACTCAACTAGTGAGTCTGGATGGGATGCATATGAGCACAATCATATAGATGAGCTAGAGGAGACTCGAGCTTGGGGGCAGAGATGGGTACATGACATCAACAACTATTTCAGAATCATAGGATTTACCATGAGATACTACAGATGCAGGAGGTTGGGACGCAAAACTCTGGTCAGAAGTTCGACAACATCTTTGATAGCTAGAGACGTGGAGGAGGATCTTAGGATTTTGTGTTCTTATGTTTGATTTGTACTATATATCTTTTTATTTTGTTTTGTTTAGGATATTATGTAGGAGATGAAGCATTAGCTCTCTCCATTTCATGCTTCTCTTTTCTTTTCCTTTTTCTGTTTTTGTTTGAATCTGTCTCAAAATAATGAAGGAGAACTTTCAAGCTAAGCCATCTATTTACTGCTTCGAATTGAACAAAAAATGAGGTAACACATAATATTTCCTCTATAGTACAAGTAAAACTTCCACTCATTAAATAGATTGTCGATTTGATGATTTATTTTTAAGCGCATTGATAGAGCTTCTGGCACCTCTTGATTTCATTGACCCTTCATACGAATTGAGAAAAAAAGAGTTATAAGAAGTACTATGATGAATGCAGAGATACATAAATTCCTCTTGCTCAACTAATAGGTGACTAATGCTCTAGTAAATAGAAAGCTCCCTACATAAGAAAACAAATGTTGAAAAAACTCAAGAAAATTGGAGAAAAAAGTATTTATGTTTTTTAATGCAAAAGTTATAAAGGTTATTTTGAAAAGATGGTCAAATCATTTCAAAGTTCAAATCGTCAAAACTTCACCAATGTGTTTTGAGACTCATGTATAGTTTTTATATTATTCAAGCATGTTAATTTGGTTATAGTTATTGATTATCTTTTGTCAAAAAAAAATATATTGGTTAGAGTTCTCTCGTGCTATTGTTGACCTTGTAAGCTCACTTATGATCCAGTACCCAAGTTCAAGATCAATTGAGGTGATTCTTATGTTCATCGAGTTGTATGAGTGTGAGTAGTATTTGCTTGTGGACAAGCAAAGTTCAAGTGTGGGATATTTCTGATGACACTCAATTTGACGGACTACTCTTGGGTCGATACTCCCATCCATATGCAGATGGCTCGGTGAAACAACCGATCATTTTGACTTAAGGAAAGAGTGGGGTGTAACAGTCTGTAGCAATCGTGGCAACCATGAGGAATAATGATGATTGGTCCTACAAACGTGATTTCTTGTAGATGGTAGTCGCTCTTTACTTTATTTTTCCTTATCCATGGAGTAGAAGCATTTACTTTCTCCATTTTACTTCGTTTCTTTGTTTTGTCATGGATGCCTAAACTATGAACTAGCCATTTATGATGTATGATAAATTCACCGAAGTGTGGGGTGGGTTTAGTAGTATGATATTTTATTTTCTATATCACTACTTTAGTCAATAAATTTTCAAATTATTGGTTTCCATCAATCCATTATCTCATTGTCGTTAAGGCATGGGCATGATCTATCAACATACACACAGAACACGATCAACACTTTTTTTATACTAATAAGGAACTCCGTCGTGGCTGAAAATCTCAAAGTAGCAGTGACAATGTGGTACGCAAATAGAGATGGAAATTTAAACCGCCCCGCTGAGTATTACCTGCACCCCCCCCCCTCTCTTGACCCATTCTATCTTAATTTCTTACCGTATCTATCATATTTCTCTTATTATGACTTTTGCTTAACTAGTTAGGGTTGATCCTTCAACTAGTTAGAGTCAATTACACATTCTATTATCACTATTCTTCATTTTTAAATTGTTTTCCCCTTGTTTTATCCTAAAAAGTAAGACTTTGCGTGTATTTATATCAAATAAGATGTCAGAGTGAGTCGACCCACCCCGCCCTGTACCCAAAAGAGTATTATCCATCCCGACTCACAGTAACATGAGGCGGAACATGGTATTGAGATACTCGCCCCTCCCCACTACCATACTATATGCAAGAGATAAGAGGCGCTTCAACCACAGTTGGGTTGGCAAACTGGAAAATGTGGATAGAGGTTACAATAAGTTGTAGACTTCATGCTCGCCCATTAATACCAACAACAACAAAACAATATAATAAGGGAATCAATATACTTTACCTTCCAAAAAAAATTACTCTTTTTGCTTGTATCACTTATTTTTGTTCTACCCAATCAGTCATCCTCGAGAGATAATGAACTCTTCTCTTTGGACAAAATCCACATACCTGACGGCAAATTTCAGTGGACTGAAGAACGCGTATGGTGTGGAAGGTGGGTGGCTAAGGCTCAGGACAATCGTCCACCTTAAAACTCCGCACTTTCTCCTCTGCAATCTTTGGTCCATACACCCCTTCGGCCTTCTCTTGTGGGTACTATTTACTCTAGTGTTTCAATGAATGTCAAGTAAGGAAGGACACAGTCCATGTCTCTGCACAACATTCGGCTATGCAGATGAAAATTGCATTCCTACTGCTACAAAATTCGCTGTTATGGTCCTTGTTAACGCAAAGAACAAGCAAAAGCAGTCACTGGCAAGACAACAAGATATTTCAACTACTACTTTAGCCCCTCCCTTGTACTACCAAGAACTAGAAACTCCTGCCATATGCTCTGAAGGGCAACTCTGATGAAAATCACAAAATGGTGGGAATAAATACTCCCCCTCTATGTTGCACTTGGATGATTCCTTCTTCATGACAAGTATTCTTACAGCCTGACAAAATTATACAGTACAACCTATCTCTGGTTGGTTACTGATGGTAAACAACTATGGAAATGAATAAAAGGGGATGACAATGTCACACCTCTTTCCCAATCTAAAAATTGTGGAGTGAATGAATTAATAAATCGGGTATATTTTGTCAGATATTTATTGGAGGAATGACAGCATGATACAGCTTCAAGTTTTTTCCAGATACCTTTTCAAAATCTTGCATCGGAAAGGAACACGAACCACCTTGATAGAGCACCATAGATTTTACGGGTCGCATTAGGCAGTTGAACAATAGGTGTGGCAGGCGTATACTTCTACTCACTCTTGCAATTCAATAGTTTAATAGACTAGCGAGTCCATCCTGCAAGCAACCACACTTGATTAAAGAAGCTCAATTTAGCAGAAGTCGAGTAAGCTTCTTGAGGAGAGGCAAGCTTTCTTACTTGCGGTGTCATGCATACAAAGAGTGTGAGGTGCTCTACGGGTTCATTTCACGATCAGATGAGACATAGAGTCTGCACAAGAGAAGCCACAACTGTGCTGTTCTTCACACTGAGGATAATCCAAGCCTAGCCTCTGGCAGCATCAAATGTATCAACCATCATCTTCTCATTACCATCCTGAACAATTAAGCTCTCCAGGTACTCGATGGCATGGGATTTGTAATCTTTGTCCAGGTGCTTCAACAATACACTATGAGTACAAGAATCTGGTTCAATCCTTCTATCTAGCATTTCTTTGTATAATGTCAAAGCCCCCTGCCAGTCTCCAACATCCGAGCATCCATTAATCAATATGGTGAACGTGTATTTGTTGGGAAATATACCATTTTGCTCCATCTCATTGAAGTATGAGTATGCTTGACCCATCGCTCTTACTTTGGTAAACCCATTTATCAAAGTGTTGTAGGTAATAACATTTGGGACAAGCCCTCTGCACCGCATCTCTTTAAGAAACATTTTTGCCAGTTCTAGCCTCCCCATTAATGCATGTGCATGAATCAATATGGTATAAGTTACAACTGTAGGGTTCTTCCCCTTGCTCAACATTTCATAGAATCTCTCCCTGCCTCTGGTCAGCCGCCCCTTTTCCAATTCTGCATGTATCATGGTAGTGTAGGTTATATGATCAGGAACAAGACCATCTCTAACTATTTGTTGAAACATTTCTTCAGCATCTTCAAAGTTACCCAACTTATGGAGCCCGTGCAGAAAGACATTATAGGTATACACATCTGGAGGGAGCCCTTTTGCAACCATTTCTTCTTGTAAACCAAATGCCTTGGTTGTAGAACCAGTCTCCAGTTCACCCATGATCCGTGTAGTATATGTGTGCCGATCAGGAGATAATCCGGCATGCAGCATCTCATCAAAAAATTCCTTCGCCATCAACATATTTCCTAACTTGGAGGAGCCATTTACAAGAATGGTGTAAGTAAATACATCAGGATGAACACCAACACTGACCATACCATGTTTCAGCTTTTGAGCACCTTCCAAGTCCCCAATTCTGCAAAGCCCATCTATGAGCGTATTATATGTAACTACAGTCGGATGGAGGCCTCGATACTTTAGTTCATCAAACAAAAGAAAAGCATCGCCAACATACCCCAACCTGCAGTATCCATAAATAAGAGAATTATAGGACACTATGTCTGGCATCACATTGTTCCTAAACATATCTAACAATTGCTTTCTGTTGTTGTCGCTTATTCTCCCATATTTGCATAATCCATGGATAATTGCATTGTAGGTTGATACCGTAGGAGTCACGTCTTTCTTCACCATTTCTTCTTCAAGGTATCTTGCCTCGTCAAATAACCCTTTTTTGCAATACCCAGAAATTAGGGGATTATACGAATATGCTGAAACTCTCAACCCCACTTTCATCATACTCCCGATCCATTCTTTAGCTTCCTCCAAGTTTCCCATCTTTGAAAACCCGTTGATCAATATATTATATGTAACATCATTAGGAAAACAACCAGTCCCTTGCATCTCTGATAAAAGATCCAGGCCTTGCTGAAGCTGCCCTTCTTTGCAAAGCAAATCCAACATTGTATTATACGTGATAACAGTAGGCTTAATTCCGTATTCACACATCATTCCATAGACTTGCCTAGCTTCAGCTCCGAGCTTCTTGTCTCGAAGTACCCTGAGAATCCTGTTGCAGTTCTTAACATCGGGCAACAACCCATTTCTCAATACTTTGTTAAAAACTGATAAATACTGCTTAACCATGGATCTCTTGGTGTAAACCCACAACAGAAGATCAAGAATCTTGATCAAAACCTGAGAATCAACGCAGTTAGCAATCAAAACATCAACAATCCCGTGCATTTGTCTGTCAATTGTCCTATCCATCACCCAGTAAGCAGGTTTCATCAAATCGTTTGCCACCAGAACCTCAAGGACGACACAAAACACGGATTCTGAACTCTTAAACCCTGATTGGCCCAGGACCCATCTGAAGAACCTTAAAGCTACTCTCGGTTTTCCTCGAATAGAAGATATGACCCGAACAAGCAACTCGGGGTCAGTAATCACAGGATGAAATTGCTCCGCAACCCAATTGTGGTTGCAAAAAGCAAAGGGTTTTTCTTCAACAGTCCTGAATATAAGGTATCTGTAATGATGGATTGTGGACTGGGGAGGGATTGATTCGGCGCCGCGGCCGCAGCTATCAGCTACTACTGGTTCAGGTTCAGCGGAAGGGCGGCTGAGAAGGCGAATAGGGAATGGAAACAAGAAAAGGCGACGTACCTCGAAGAAGGGAAGCTTGGTAGACGGTTTAAAAGCCTTTGAAGCTCTTAGGCAGAGACAGAGGGTCATTGACATGAGAGGCTACCGCAAGGATGGCGGCGGTGGTTTGCTTGGCATTTGAATCGGGAAGCTAGAAAAAGACAATCAGACATGGGAAGACGAATGGCAGTAAGAAAATCTGTGAGCTCCCCCGAAGATTTGCAGTGAAGGGCAGGCCACGAGGCCCGATGGAGGCGCTCACGGTGTAATTAAAACAAACACAGCGCCAGGGGTCTGGGTGGTCGCTCTCGTACTCCACATTCGGCATCCGCCACAGCACCGAGTTCGTGCGAGGGTTGAACTCGTCGAGTGAACTGCAAAATTTCCGACTCGGGGGTAAAACAAGTCGGGCTTTAAGCCTACGCCCTACACTACAGGGTAGAATACCACGAGGTAGGTTTTGTTTGTTATTAGTTAACTTCAAATTGCCAACCGGTTTCGACTTTCTATCATTGCCCCGGCTATTGATAATAAGATAGATAGAAGAGGGCTTCTCAGAAAGAGAAGAGAGAGAAAAAGCTCCCACCTCTCTCCTGTTTCTCTACTGGTCGCATTTATGACCGTTGAAGCCAAGCCTCCGTCTGAGGAGGCGGACCATTGCCTCAAACCGCCTGATGGCTCGCCGGCGAGCTCGCCGACCCAGCCAACGAAGAAGTCCAAGTGCATCGAAAGCAATGGCAGCCCTGGCCAAGCGGAAAGGGACTTTCCCGTCGTCACCGCCAGAGAGCACCAACAGAGTAAATCGAAAGGTGAAGCTGAGCAGCCCACAGAAAAGGGAGAGCAGAGCATCCCAATGAATACGAGCCCACGGAGGGGAACGTATAAAGACAGAATGCTGGGTAACACCCCGCCGCCGGAATTCTCGGACGGGGAAGAGCTAATGTCCGATGAATCAGAAGGGGAAGATGGAGATGACGACCCAGAGTGCCCGACGATTAGGGTTAAGAAAAGCACGAATGCCAGAATCAGGAAAATTTGGCACAGAGCGATTACCTTCAGAGTTTTGGGTACTGTGTTCCCCTTTGCCTTCCTCCAACGAAGGGTGATGAAGATGTGGGCCAAAACTGGAGGAATCAAGATCGGTGACATCGGCAATGGATACTACCAAGCAATCTTCGACTCTCAGTTGGATCACGATCGAGCCTTGTACGGAGGACCCTGGACGGTGGAAGACCATTACATCGTTGCGGAACCATGGAGGCTCGACTTTGATCCAGACTATGACACAATCGACAGAACCTCGGTTTGGGTAAGGCTTCCCAGATTGCCTCTTGCTTATTTTGATGAGGAGATCCTGTACAGCATAGGTGAGAAACTAGGGAGAGTTGAAAAGATTGACTATAATACAGCAAATGGGTTCCGAGGGAACTATGCTAGAATCTGTGTGGAAATCGATCTTAGGAAGAAATTGGTTTCGAAATATAGACTGAAGAGAAGAGTGAGAAGAGTTGAATACGAAGGACTACACATTGTCTGCTTTGAGTGTGGCCACTATGGACACAAAGAAGAGAAATGCCCAATCCGCATGGAGGGTACTGTTCTATCACCAGAAGAGAAGTCCAAAGATCAAATGATGCCCAGTCCAAACCTGGAAGTCAGACCAGAAATCACTGAGGACTTCGGACCCTGGATGTTGGCTACACGAGCCAGAAGAAGAAGACAACCAATGAAAAAAACTGACAACAACTACAAGAAGGAAGAACAACAAAAGAATGCATCTGGATCCCGTTATACCGCATTGGAGGAAGAAGAAGAAAGGAATGAGGAAGGGGAGGTAGCAGAAGAAGAACAAGAACAGAATGATCAGAATGAGACCGAGAAAGTAGACTAGATGGAGGTGGATGGAACAGAAGGTGGAAATATTGGGAAGGAAGAAAAGAAACAAGGGGGGAAGAAAAGCAGAGATACTCCACAGAAAGAAGGAAAAGAGATAAAGGAGAAAAAAAGGGATGACAAACACAGCAAGGAAATGAACAGGAAGGGGAACCAGAAGACCACCCCTGAGAACAACACCCAGAAAACAGGGGGTAGGACACAGATTGTGAAGCCTCAGCAGGAGGCAGCCATTCCATCTAAAGAGACCAAGGCAGGGAAGAAAAATGAAGAGGGACCACCTGTCCATCTAAAACATTCTTAGAACCAAGGTGAAACAAGCAAAACCAGCAGCAACGACACAAAACATGGAAAGGGCAAAAGTTCGTCTATTGGTGCCATAAAAGGCCACCAACCAAAGATGAAAGGCATGTCCCCTGGGAAAGAAGCTAAAGAGGGATTGAAACCAAAACCACAACCTCCAGATAATGGGGTTAACCAACCCACAAAGCTGGATTTCAAATCCAGTCCAGGGAAGGAGGTCCCAAAGCCAGAAAATGCTACTCCACCGAAAGCAACCGATGCCAAAGGGGAGTTGAAGGAGAATGAGACGGCAATGGCCGTCGACAATGTTCCATCCTGACCTTATGGTCATGCCAGGGAAGTCTCTTCAACACTTTTAAATGGTTAAAGTCTTCTCTTGGAATTGCAGGGGTGCAAAGCACCCTAAGTTTCTACCTACTTTTGAGTTATATAAGAACCTCTACAAACCGAATATTGTCTGTATTTTTGAACCTAGAATTAGTGGTAATGACGCCCTGGATGTTATTAAGAAGATGGGGTTTGACTCCCATTGTATCTCTGATGCAACAGGTTTCAGTGGGGGGATTTGGGTCCTGTGGGACAGCACTCAGCTCAGTTTGGAGGAGGAGGACAAGCAGAAGCAGTACATCCACTTTAAATGCTCACGGAGTAGGAAGACTTTCTGCCACTTCTCAGCCATCTATGCAAGCCCTCGCGATTTTGAGAGAATGGACCTGTGGGATGCCCTTAGAAGCTTTGGTAGACGTACCAACATCCCCTGGATGATCACTGGGGATTTCAACTCCATCACCAACTCGTCAGAGAAGGCAGGAGGGGCCCCTTACAACCATGCTAAGACCAGGGACTTCAATGAATGCATCGAAGACTGTGGACTCCTTGATATGGGCTTTTCTGGACCAAACTTCACCTGGTTCAAGAGCTCAGGGAGAGTTAAGGAAAGATTAGACAGAAGCCTCTGCAACCTTGAGTGGCACCAGCAATTCCCTGAATCCAATGTCATTCACTTGACACGGCTGAAGTCAGACCATCGCCCTCTCCTTACTTGTTCCACAAGACAACACAGTGAAGCTAACCTGGTGAGACGCTTCCATTTCCTCGCCCCTTGGCTTACCCATGACAATTTCTTTCCTTTCCTCAATGAGAATTGGAAAGCTGGCAACGATTTCCTTCCCTCCTTGCAGGTCCTTGCGTCAAAGCTTCAGGAGTGGAACAGAAAGGTTTTTGGCAACATTTTCAGGAGGAAGAAGATCCTTCTCAATAAGCTGAACTCCCTAGAATTTCTTAATGAAAGGAGACCCACCTCTCATTCGCTGGAACAAGAAAACACAACAAGGATTGAGCTGGAACAAACACTTTGGGAGGAGGAACTTTTGTGGATCCAGAAATCAAGATCAAGCTGGTGGACTCATGGAGATAGCAACACACGTTTCTTCCACAACAGCACCTTGTGCAGACGAAAGAAGAACAAGATCATCACCCTAAAGGACTCCCTGGGAAACTGGATTGATGACCCTGCTACCCTGCAAAGTCTGGCAAGGAATTTTTTCATCAACCAGTACACCAAAGAGGACAAGGACTCCTGGCCATCCATTCCCGCTGACTTCCCATGCCTCGAGAGTGAAGTTTTGGACAGGACTAAATGCCCCCCAAGCCCCGAGGAGATTAGAATGATTATCAAGAACATGAGCCTCCTTAAAGCACCAGGGAAAGATGGTTTCCAAGCTATCTTTTTCCAAAAGTGCTGGGATTATGTGGGAACTGACCTGATCAGTTTCGTTTTGTCCTGTTTTGACTCACCTGAACAAATCAGGAGGGTGAATGGCACCCTTCTGACCCTTATCCCTAAAATTGACTCTCCCTATTCCATGACTCACTTTAGACCTATTAGTTTGTGTAATGTGAGTTATAAAGTGGTGGCAAAATGCCTAGCTGAAAGGCTCAAGCATTTGATGCCCCACCTTATCAACCCTAACCAAACTAGTTTTGTTCCTCAACGCCATATAACTGACAATATTCTCATATTGCAGGAAACTGTCCACTCAATGACAAGAAGGAAAGGGAAGAAAGGATCAATGGTGATCAAAATTGACCTCGCAAAAGCTTACGACAGACTGGACTGGGACTTTTTGAAAGAAACACTAGATGCAACCAGGCTGCCTGCTGCTTTTGTGGAGATGACCATGAAATGTGTGACCACCACAGAGCTCCAGGTGTTGTGGAATGGAGGAGAGACAGACAGCTTCACTCCCAGCAGGGGGCTTCGTCAGGGATGTCCACTCTCCCCTTACCTCTTTACTTTGTGTATTGAACGGTTGAGTCATAGTATTGTCAATAAGGTCAAGAACAAGTCCTGGAAACCCATGACTCTCTCAACAAATGGCCCCCCCTTATCCCACCTTTTCTTTGCGGACGACTTAGTCCTTTTTGCTGAAGCTTCCCCCACCCAGGCTACTTGTTTGCTGTCGTGCCTTAATAGGTTTTGTGAAGCATCAGGGGAGTTGGTTAGCAAAGATAAGTCTCGCATTTACTTCTCGCCTAACACTAGAAGTGATGTGAGACAGACCATTTGCAATGTTCTTGGTATTCAATCCACCAATGACTTAGGGAAATATCTAGGGGTCCCAGTTCTTCATGGGAGAACCACTAGGAATACCTATAGGTACATTTTAGATAAAATTGATAAAAGACTTACAGCCTGGAAAGCCAAAACTTTATCCCTAGCTGGTAGAGTTACCCTTGCCCTCTCTGTCCTCAATGCCATTCCCACCTATGCAATGCAAACTGCTATCCTCCCGGCCTCGGTTTGTGATGCAATTGATAGGAAGGTTAGATGGTTTGTTTGGGGCTCACAGGAAGGAAGGAGGAAAGCCCATCTTGTTGCTTGGGAAACCATCTGCAAACCTAAGAACCAGGGGGGCTTGGTCTTAAGTCTGCTAGAAGTCTTAACTTAGCTTACATGATTAAGATCGCCTGGCTCATGTTTAATGACGAAAAAGCTCTTTGGGTGCAGGTTTTACAGGGGAAGTATTTCAATCACAAGGATGGAAGGATTGTCTCTATGAAAAAAAGCAACCATTCAAGTTTGTGGAAAGCTGTCCTGAGAGCCATGCCACTGATGAAACAAGCTACTGCCTGGAGTATTTGTGATGGAACTACAACTGGCTTTTGGACTCACCCCTGGATCAACCACGAAACCATCCTCGAGGACTTTCTTCAGGAAGACCTTAGTGAGGAGGACCTGAACTCATCTGTTGCAGAGTGGACCACAGAGGAAGGAACCTGGGACTGGAGAAGGCTCAACAGTCTCCTACCTGATGAGATCCTGGCCTTAATTGCAGGCACTGATGTCCCTCTACCAGGCTCGGGAGAAGACAAGCATAAATGGGGCATAGAACAAGACGGCAAATTCAGCCTCAAGTCTGCTTACTGCCTTGCATCAGACGCTCTTGGGAAGGAGGAAGATGCGATCTGGAAGGGGATATGGAAGTGGAAGGGACCGAACAAGATTAAGCACTTCATGTGGTTGGTGACCCATAACAGGTTGATGACAAACAAAGAAAGAGCAAAGCGTGGACTGACTACCAACAGCAACTGCCCTCACTGCAACAACACGGAAGAAACGGTGGAGCACATCCTCCGTAGATGCAAAAAGACCGAGGGTGTTTGGAATCACTTCAACTTTTTCATCACTGCTCAGGACCCCAGCCAGGACTTCAAAACATGGCTACTCAACAACATGAAAGATCAGAACAAAGGGACGGAATTTGGGATCATCTGTTGGTGTTTATGGAAACAGAGGAATGAGGAAGCTATGGAGGGGAAATCCTTCTCTGAAATAGGCCTCATTAAAAGAATTTCCGCCTGCTTTACTATCAACACCAATGCTGTGACTAACTCGGCTTGTATTGGCCTGGTCAAAACCTCCAACAGAGAAAGGAGGTTCATCTCATGGAAACCACCCAAGGAAGGATGGATCCAACTGCAAAGCGATGGAAGTTACAAGAGCTCCAACCGAAGTGCTGCTGCTGGAGGATTGCTGAGAGATCATCTTGGAAAGTGCACTGCAGCCTATGCTTGTAACCTGGGGTCCTGCACCATCACTAGGGCCGAGCTCAAAGGGGCTGTTGAAGGATTAAAGATTGCCTGGGAAAAGGGATACAGGAAAGTGGAAGTCAATCTGGACTCGAATACAGCTGTGAGTATTTTGAAAGAAAAGGGAGACACCAGCAGCAACCATGGACTTCTTGCGCTTCAAGCTAAAGAACTCCTTAGTCGTAGCTGGACTGTTAATATTAATCATGTTTATAGGGAGTGTAACTCTGCTGCTGATTTCTTAGCTAGCATGGGGCATGATCTCCATTTTGGCACGCATCAACTTGATACGTGTGACCCCAAACTCCTGTATTGGCTGAACTATGACGCTAGGGAAACTTCCCAAGAGCGAGATATTTTAATCTGATTCTGGATGCTCTGCATCCATCTTCTTACCAAAAAAAAAAGATAATAAGATAGATAAAATGTAGTTATATTATTGGAGAAATTGAGATTTTCATTTATTTATTTATAACTTTATTGTAGCTAAAATGTAGTTAAATTATTGGAGAAATTGAGGTTTTCACTTATTTACAAAATTATTACAGCTAAAATATAATGTAATAAGAGGAAAATCTTAAGTAATTTGACTAAAATTACATGCATTTATTTACAACAGTGCTATTTCTGGAAAAGTCCCGAAAAAAGGGAAGACGTTGGGATTGGGGAGGGAGCCGGGGTGGGGTAGGTGTGATGCGTACACGTTTTTTGTGGGCATCTAGGCCATTAGCTATTTTTCTATTATTATTGTTATTTTGTTTATTCGGATATTTTATGGTTATTATTTCTTGTTAAGGAAGTTATTGTTTAGGAGTTGGTCTAGGATTAGTTTACCTTATTCGGGAGGGAAAGGGTTTGTAGGATTATTCCTATAAATATATACTTTGTCT